CGGGGTGGCTTGCTGGGTTTGGTTGGGTTTCGTTTTGGGCCATCGCATGCGTTGCTTGCAAAAATGATTTAATGGCCATAATGTTAGCTGAATGGTTAATTCACTTACGTTTATGGCCAGCCTCAGTCTGAGACCCATCCTTGAACTCGAACTGTTATTCTGCTTTCCACAGGACTCTCCAGGGAGCTATCGTCGCAACATATGTCTGACAGCGAGCAATGCTGCACTGAGGTTGCCTCGCCCGATGCGGTTCGCATGTGTAATTATTGTTTAGATTTTATTCGTACTCAGGCTTGTATGTGGGGCACTGTTGTATCCTGCTTTAATGTGTTTATAACGTATGAGTAATGGCAGTCGTTTGTGGTTCCACAGGGGGGAGGTGTGTGTGTGCTGTGTAGTGTTGTGTTGGGTGTGTTGCAGGTTGATTTGAGGCTCTTGTGTTTTTAATTAGATGTGAAAGCCTCGGCCGGCTGCTCTAGATGAACGAGCGAATGTCATCAATCTCAAGAGGCATCTGTTACTTGGCCACGCCCCTTAGCAGTTCATTTATTATGCGTTCAAGTCGTCGACCCTCCTTATACTATATATTTGTGCACAACTATAGCTGCCTGTCTTATTCGCAGTTCTGAATTTAAAAGTTCACGCATGTGTACGGCGGCGGCAATAAAAACTTTTTCATTAGTGCGACGCATTAGGGCTAAAAGCCAGCATCAACATGGACAACAAGCGTGGGCAGGACTTTTCCAAGGGTGGCAGCTGCTATCAGAGACCCCCGAGTAGGACCCAAACTCTTGTCAAAAAAAAAAATAAATTTTAAAGTCAAAGCTAAAAGCAGTGAACAACAGTGACAATTGACAAGGCCTACAACAGTGTGTGTGTGTGTGTGTGTGTGTGTGTATCTGTCCTGTCTTATTGTTGCTGTAAATGTTGATGTACTAAACGCGATCTGAATGACAAATCTTACATAAATACTTTATGGGGGAGCTACGTGAGCCGAGAAGAGCTGCACAAAAATCTTGAAACCCGGACAACATTTGAAATGTATTTCTTTCATTGCGTACATTTGCTTATTAAGAAATGAGCCAACGAAAAGAATTGTATGTTTTATGATTTTTTGACTCTTTAATCGTTTTGAAATTTGACAACGGTCTGCGCTGGAATTAATATATTTATGAAGTTATTCCAGACATTTAAGTATAAATAATATTGTCAACATTTGGCATGCCAAAGTGAGGCTTTTATTGGTCACAATTTGCATGCGCCACTCGCTTTTCTTTTATTGAATTTTAAGCAGCTGCCGTTCAAAGTGACAACAATTGTTGTGAGCGGGATTGTTAGAGGGGGAAGCAGCCACCGACAGTGTATGTGTGTATGTGTGTGTTGGGGTGGCAGGAGGGGATTTAAGGTGTGGGGTACTTGTGTGTGCGGCAGCTGCACGAAATGATTGCAATATAAAAATTTGCACAGCAAATTGAGAAATAATGCAAATATTAAAAGCAATAAAGTTGCTCTTAGCATCAAATTGAACATACTGCCTTATGTCTGTGCATTTGTATATGTATATGTTGCAAAATTATTTATTTTTGTTAACATATTGTCTAAATTGACAAGTCCATCAAAGGCTCACAAAATTAGACAATTCAAAATATCAGCAATGGCCGGAAGGGTATGCGGATGGCAGCAATTAGCATATGGACGAGGGTGGGTGCGGCTGCTGGAGCATCCGTTATGGCGCCGTTTTAAATTAATTACGCTCTCATGCATCAGCAACAACAATAACAACAATAAGAACACACTTGCGTCAGTTTACCACACACACACACACACAAATACACACAGCTACACACACACTCTTAATGAGTGCCACAAAAGTTTTGGTTTGCCTGGGCCTGAATTGTTTTGGCCGTTGTTGCTGCAATGACAACATCCGCTGCAGACTTGCTGCTGCAAAATCACATAGGCAACTAAAACAACAACAGACTTGAGCATCGGAAAGGGTTTTTGGCATCTCAAGCGAAAATCTATTATTTACGGCTGTGTTAGCTTCGAAATTTAATAGCTAGGTTTGCCCAATAAACAAACAGCATCAAAATTATATTAACACTAATAAATAATTCACATTTACTAAAGTCAACTATGAGTAAGCTTCCCCATTATTAAGGCAAATTTATGAAACTTGTTGTTGTGGTCATCTCGGACCAAATTTCGAAGCAAATTAATTACGAGAAATATTCACATTTACATTTAAGTTCAAATGTAGAGCGAGCAATGACAATCAACAAATGCGTAATTGAAATTCTTCATCGACTTATTGCGACATTTTCATGTATTTTGTAAGCCATGAATCCATTATTAGCCTACCTGGAATTTAACTTAGCCTTAGCACTTGCACTATCAACATTTGATGTTTTCATTTTAATTGGGTTTTCTTGAACATGTCAAGTGAAATCGAAGACTTAATATAGACAGTCGATAGAATTTTGCAGAGTTTTAGCTGAAGGAAAAATGTTGTAATTTGTACAAATTGTTGAATACTTGCAACTTCGTCCGAGTATGCATTTATCCATGAGGCAAGACTCTAGATATAATGATTTTTTTAATGAAAATTTATAAGTAAGTCATGTATTCGGCTTGGTTGGTTGATTTTCTCACCTTTGAGCTAGTCCATTCCGGAAAAGACATCAACTGACTGATTAGCAAGAGACACAGTTGAATGGGACACAAAAATCCAAACCAAGCTGATAAACGCACGACAAATGTGAATACGTGCTGCGATTGTTGATGATGAATTCGAAATGGAGATAACAGAGTCGGGAGCGAGGAGGGTAAATGGATTGTGGCTGACAAAAACGGACTAATCTGCAGATAGTAGAATTTCTGCGGTTGGCCTCTGATTAAATACAATAAAAGTGTTGATTGCTTTGCTGATTGGCTTACACTGCCAGTGAACACAAATGATGTAAATTTGACGTATGTATGTGTACATACTATATACACATTTTACACAATCAAGTCAAATGACTCAAACTAGCAATGGGTCAGGTGGCTAACACCACGCCAGCAGTATTACCATTTTGCCAAGGGTTGCTTTTTTGCCTATTGTGCAATTTTCTGGGTCATGATGTTGACTTTTTAAATTTACTGCCCATTTTTGCTTTTGTGGCTGTAGAGTTGGGTTTCATGTTCGTTTAACGATAGATCGAAGCAAAAATGTGAGCGGTACATTTGCATTTTTACACTTATGATTTAGGAGCGACCCAAGACTTACATTCCAAGCATTTTTCAAAGCAGACCACTTCAAGATTTATGTAGAATTTGAAAACGGTCAACTTGGTTTCAATTTGCTTATGTGATGTGCATTCCCCTAAGATGCTGTTATCCACTAGACTTGGATGATGCCAGAAAGAAATATAAATTTATTTAGTTGTCAGTCAACATATTTGTTGGTCTTATGTGAGGACTTAAGAGCTACATAATACTTTAATTTACCTGTTACTTTTTAGTCGTGGACTTAACTTTAATTTATTTGCAGCAAGTATATAGCAGCTATTATGAAATCATTAAACCATAGCTTGGAATTCGCCCACTTTTTCTGGTTTATTTTCGTTTAATCGCCTTCATAAAGATATCCATATAAAACAATGTACTTTGAAGCTGCCTGAATAATCCAACTTTCTTCGGTAGAAAAACAACGAATGATATAATATTTAATATTTAATAATCTTGTGTGCAATAGAGTAAATATTATTTCCTGTAATATTAACGAGAATCGTTGTTGAATGTGTCTTAAAGCGAAGCCGCTTGTTTATTCTGACTGGAGACTAATGAAAATCGGGGCATTTAAGGTAGTCAAATTCTGCGAACTGTTTACAAAAATAAAACCCAAGCCAAAACGGTGAGAGAAGCACATAAATAAAAGAGCATCGTTTTTAACTCCACTATAATGCTTGATCTGTGGAACTTTTGATATTTCGGTTTTGATTTCGCTGATGGCTGCTGCGAAAAGGGCTGCGGGAGAAAGGGGGTGATTCTGTGAAAGAGCGCTTGGTTTTGGTTATTCTCGGCATATACTGCCCTTCGTTTTTCATTTCACGGCCACCAGCGCTGTTGGCATGCAAAACTGCGTCTATAGCTGCATAAGGGACCCAAGCCCCAAATAACACTCGTAAAATGATTTTTCGGTTTGAGTTTGCTATGGCCCAGTTACCCCCTCAACCCAACTCCCGCCACCAACACCCACTCCCAACGGCCTTCTTCTGCCTGCTGACTCAATCGAATGCTGGGCATTCATGATTTTTCATTTCATTTTCGCTTATTGCTTACAGTTTTCGTTTTGTGGCTGGGTTTCCTATTTCTAATTTTGTGTGAGAGGATTTCTCTTTCACAACAATATATGTGTGTAGTTCTGCATGTGTGTGTGTGTTTGAGTGTGGTTGCTCTGTGTGCGATATCTTTGCATGCGAGTTAAATAAAAGCTTAACTAAAATTGAAAAACTTTTTCAATATGTACTTTTTCTTGAATTGCGCATCTGCACATTCAAATACATATAAAAGCGTATATGGATCTTTATTGTTTCATTGCAAATGCTTTTTATGCAAAATAACTGCATATGCAAATTGATTGGCTCTTATGATTTCCCAAAGCAGAACACAGAAGCTTCTCATTGTAACATAAACATCCTCACAAGATTGGTAAAGAAATTGTTTTGCATTCGTAAGATAAATAAGGATATCAAATGCTAATTATTTCACTCATACCTAAGCTCTTTTCATTATAAAATTGAAGAACAAACGCGTGTCTTCTTTTTATATACGAGTTGAGACCATTCTGCAGCCAGCCTCAACTGTCGTAAAATGTACCCTTCAGCGTAATATTGATAAGGAAAGGTGCCCCATAAAATCACTACAGAATGTAGTGAAATTCGTCCCGAAACTATTAACGATATTGAATACATTTTAATGTAGAGCAGCTGATAGCATTATTCATGATACTCAAGAGATTTGGGTATTTAAATTGTATTTATTTTTTGTTATGGATATTGGTCTATTTGAACACGCTTAAATCTTCTTTCAGTAAGTGAATTGATCTTTAAATCTTACATTTTATTCAACGGATTTCAGCTGATTTAGAGATTCTTTCGCGACAACTCAGCGTAGACGCTGCTATGTGGTTTCTCGACTGGCATGAAGACCTCATTATTATCACCGGGCGCCACCTGCTGGAAGGGTTTCGTGTCGAAAGTGAAGTAGTGCATGTTGGTCAATGTAATTGATATAACGGCTATTTGTGGCACAGCATCAAGCGCATCCTTCGCACTCAGATACGCGGTATTCTGCGTACAGGGCGAGGATACGCCCACATTTGGATCACCGGCAAAGTTCTTCAACAAAGCATCGCGTACAGTCTGCCAGGCCTTCAGAAAGTCGACTGACTTCGTGCAAGAATACTCCCAGGTGCCTTCGGCAATCACGCTGAACACACGATCAAATTGATCTGGCGTCGTGCGATATACATCGTCAACGAAGTTCACAAACGACGATTTTGTGGTCTTCAGCACGCGAAGCTTCTTAATACCGCTAATAACTGTTTGCTTAGGATCTGAAAATAAATATAGTTTGGTTGGATTTTTGTATAAATTATTTTTAAAAAATGCATGTAATTATATTTAACAAATTTAAAATTTTTAAATTATTGCCACAATATTGAATGCAATATCCATTGCTCAATTGCACTTTGGGAAATATTTTTTGATCTCGTTAGATTTTATTTGATTTTATCAAATGTTCTTAACAAATAAAACAAAAAGCACACATTTTGTCCGGCTTTTTACTTATTTTTTTAACATCTTTGATTTTGCGTAGAAATTTCTATTTTGTGTTGTGGATAGCCTTGGGCAGTTGAAAAATGTTTTGTCATTAAAAACTCAAATAGTCGTGAATAAAAACAGTTAAAGCAGCTAAAATATTGGCAGTCTGAAGTGCTCTATATATATTCAAAGCTAAATGGTATACTTACCATTACGTCTCACAATAATATCGCAGAAATGCACAGCAGTGGGCGCAAAGACAAAGGCGTGATTGTGCGGCTGAGATTGTTGTCCTTTACCAGTGTCCTCTGAATCCCCTTGTCGTATGCGTTGCCAAGGATAAGCCTCCACACGGACATGAGCCTCATATACATGCGCATATGTGGCCAAGAAGTGATTGCCAACAAGAAGAGCAAATTTCTCGGGACCTTCGATGCCATATTTTTTAGCAAGCAGGTAAACGACGTTTTTCATCGCATCGGAGTCGACCACATCCGAGTTGATGCCCAATACGTACTCCTTGTTGGTGGTGAGCTTGAGATGTGTGCCCACTTCCAGCTCCTGAATGGTGTGTACTGGTCCATTGCGATCCACATGCAACAGCTTCACCGCATCCTTGCCGTAGCCTTTGTTGGTTATATTGTAAGGGCACTGAACCTCCTTATCCACGGGAGTGGACACATTTAGATTGGTGAACTTTTGTAGCGGCTTTGGGAACATACTGATTCGGGTGCTATTCACTTACTATTCTCAAAAATGTTAGGTTGGGCTTTTATAGTCGTAATCTACAACTGATTACCAAAGAGCCAGAATTTGACTGCTGCCATTAAAATGTATTGCCCTCTTCTCTCTAGATAACAGTTAACATTTATTACATTTAAATCTTTAATATATTTTGTTCTTCATTCATTTTTTAACAATTCGACGTATCTTGTTGTTTATTTACTGTTAATCTTCTAATTACTATCATAAAGACAGACATAACTTTCTTCTAGTTTCATTATTTTAAAAACTTACTCATTGGGCAGATTATCTAATTTATTATCTGCCTTATACTGATAAGGTGCTCAAAAATTTTAAGAATAAGTTTTGTCACCTGACCTTAACAAAACCCGTAAGAAGTAACTTACTGAATTGGATGTCGGTGAACATGATAACATCTTGCTGTTGCAGATTGACATAGAAACTTATCTTGCTTACGTAGGGTAAGATAAATATTTGATCTTCTCAATCAATAAAAATTTAAGAAGAAAAATGGCTTATCTTAACCATGTAGCTGCAAAATACACATTCCACATATGTATATCAGAACTCATATGCCAAACCCACAACTTAAAATTTCGCTCTGATGCCAACAATATGATCTATTGTTCAGATCCGGCCGACCACGGAAAAAGACTAATATATTCCAAGTCAATCAAGATTAAAACTGAGGCCAAGTTCACATAGAAACAGACAGGCACGGCTTTATCGACTCATCTAAATTCTGGTCAAATAGAGTTATGGGATATATAATTCACTCATAATGGTATAAAAATATAAATAGGAATGCCATCGTATAATATCTATAAAAGCAAATGAAAATCTTTTTATTATTATCGTAGTTTAGAATAATCTTCTAATCTCCTGCTATATGAAATGTTTTTAGCTACATAAATATACTTGTTAATGAAAGACCATTAAATGCATATATTTATATTATCTAGCTTATGCATAGTATAGTAGAAGGTAGATAGTAATGGATGTGGACTTTTTTTAATTTATATCGAAGTTTGTTTTTTTTGTATGCCGTAGTCTTCTTCGAGCAATTAAGTGGTTTTACCAAAAATCTTCTTTCAACAAAGTTGAGCTGATTTAGAGGTGACTCTTGAGATCCTTACGCCCCAACACAGCATGAATGGTTCCGTGTGGTTTGTCGGTTGGTATGAAGACCTCGTTATTTTCACCGGGGGCTACTTGTTGAAAGGGTTTTGTGTCGAATGTGAAGTAGTGCTTATTGGGCATCGTCATTGTGATGACGGCCACTTGTGGCACCACATCGAGCACATCTTTCTCACTCAGGTACAGGGTGTTCTGTACAGAAGGTGAGTAGATGCCCACATTTGGATCTCCGGCAAAGTTCTTCAGTATAATGTCCTTCACAGTCTGCCAGACACTTAGAAAATCAACTGACTTCGTACAGGAATATTCCCAAGCACATTCAACAACCGTGCTGAAAATGCGATCACTTTGATCTGCCAGCGAGCGATATTCGTCGTCAACAAAATTCACAAACGACGATTGGGTGGTCTTCAGAACGCGCAGTCCCCGAATGCCACTGATCACTGTTTGCTTGGGAGCTAAAAATATATAAATATATAAATATTTATTGCAAAAGATATTAAAATGTTGTAGTGAAGTTTGTAACGCAATGATGGAATCGTTTTCGCTAATATTAGCTATAATTATGCTCCTCACGCGTTGACATTACCAAATCAAATTTAGAATTTAGTGCTTACCTTGACGCCTCACAATCACATCGCAGTAGTGCTCAGCAGTGGGTGAAAAGAGAAAGGCGTGATTGTGCGGCTGAGATTGTTGATTCTTCTGGTGTATGCGTTGCCAAGGATAAGCCTCTACGTGCACATGAGCCTCCTCTACATGGGCATATTTGCTCAAGAAGTGGTTGCCCACAATCAAAGCAAATTTCTCGGGACTCTCGACGCCATATTTCTTGGCAAGCAAATAAACGGTATTTTTTTGAGAATCGGTGGCCACCACATCTGAGTTAACGCCCAGCACGTAGTCCTTGTTGCTGTTGAGCTTGAGGTGTGTGCCCACTTCCAGCTCCTGAATGGTGTGCACTGGTCCCCTGCGATTCACATGCAACACCTTGACTGCATCCTTGCCGTAGCTTTTGCTGACTATCTCATAGGGGCTCTGTTGCTCATGACTGAAGGCAGTGGGAGCATTCAGCTTAGTGTAATTTTGTAGCGGACTTGGAAACATTTTGATGCAAAAGCTATTCGCTCACTATTCTCAAAATGGCGAAATTGAGCTTTTATACTATTTCATCTAGAACTGATTATCAAAGAACTAGAAATTGCTGTCTGTTGTCGTTAAAATTTATGGCCGTCTTCCTCACTTATACAAATTCATTTTATCTTGGCATCTATTAAAATCATTTATTTTATTTTTCTCTTGAAGCATTTTGAGTATTGCATTTAAAAGAAACACTATCTTTTTGTTTACTTATTGTTAGTCTTCTTATTACTATCATTAAGATACACATCATTTTCTTGCAGTTCCACTATTTTAAAAGGCTGCACAAAAAGTTACTCATTGGGCATATTATCTAATTTATTATCTGACTTATACTGATAAGATGCTTTTATCTGTTAAGTCTTTGTTATGTCACCTTGAAAAGAACAGTTAACACACTGAAAAGACTTTCAATTTTCATAATTATTTCTTATATATTATTGCTATATTGCCAGTTATTATCTATTTTTGCCATTGATATATATCAGAAATCCATAATAAGTGCTACTTATGGACAATTTAAATATTTGATATCCACAACAATAATAAAAATATATAAATATTAAGATATAATTCTTAACAATATGGTTAATATATTTAATTTTGGAAGGTATTCAGTTCTGACAATGCTATCCTGAAATGGTACAAATATCTTAGGCATAAATATTTCCGCGTGAAAGTATGCAACATTCTTGTTTTGAATGACTGAAAGTATGCAAAGCTTATTGGAATACTTTAAATAGGGATACTGAATGGAGTCATATAGTGCTAGACTCTTTTAAGAATATATACATATACAAATATATATATATACATCCTCAGCAAACGACCAGAAAAGGACGTTTAAAATGGAGTGTTTTTATGTGGCACAGAGTAAATATATGTGCCAGAGACTGTGCAACCACATGGAAATTTTACATTGAAATACTCAACTTAAAAACACTCCTTGAAAACTAAATGTAAACATAGCAAACTTTTGAAAAGAGAAGAAAAGTAAATGGCTAAGGAGCTTAACTTTTTATTTATTTAAGGTCAGTCGACACAAAAAACTACAAAATGTAAAAAAATATATTAAATTAAATTGAAAATAAAATTTAAATGAAAAATATAGGAAATATCTGGAAGATATCTTAAAAATGTATTTAAAAATTTATAAGTAACTTTACTTTGGGCATGTTATGGATGAGAAGACATACTATTTTTGCGCTTTAAGCGCGGCATAATAAAAAGAATCCGAAGAAAAAGAAATCAATTTAAGCAAGGGAAAATATTACGCTGAAATTCATAAGTCCGGTTAATGTGGGCCAACGGTTTTACAGTCCTTTTGTCTTGGGATACTTTCGCAAGTTGGCAATTCGAGGCACAATTGTGGCTGCTTAATTACGCAAGGCTATTTAATTTTATTTTTCTTTCTGAGCCGAACAGAGCCGAAAACTCTTTCTTCTCAAATATGTCATTTCCATGGAGCTGACAGCTGCGACAAATTAACATTTGTATTAAAAAAGAAAAGTATTTCCATTTTCCATTTGCCACACTGCACACATTGTACAATTGCAGGCGCGTGAGTTTCGCATAAGATTGAGTATTATTATTCCCATTACACAATTTCCCATTCTGATATAAAACTTCTACTGGGTGTGACAGTAAGCGACACTTTGTCCGACACAGTGCATGTCATAATTTAATGTATGGCGAATGGCGAATGTATAAATAAAAGTTATCCTCTGCCCAAGAAGAACGCTGGCAGTTAATTTCACGCTGCCAGCCTCTGTGACTGCTTAAGATGATGAAGTGCATTCAGCTTGGGCAAAACAAACAGTTACACTCACATCCATTGACAATTGAGCAAATATAACAACAAAGTTTTTTTTTTAATGCCATTTTAAAATAATAGCGGTGTCATTGGTGTTTCGAGCTTTTCACGGCTGATTTTTGGGGAAAAACTTAAATTTTGAAGAATGAAAATTACTGTTGCTTGAATGAATGGAAATGTTAAATTGCTCAAATAGGAGGGCCAGTGCGATATATAGAAAAAGTGGTCCGTAGGGCTTGTTGGCACTGAGATAATTCAGAAAAGTTATTACTTATTGTTTACTTACGGATTATTATTATTATTATTGGGGAAGCTGCACCGCGACCTATTTGGTCTATTGTGCCCCCTTTTGAGCTTATAGCTCTTCCATCAGCCCCAACTCCCGCACGAACGTGAGGATATTTGTTGTGTTGAGGTCTTCTATATCTTTGCAATTCAAAACATGCGCCCCTCAGATGCTGCTGCTTCTTCTTCTAGTTAAGGCGACACATTCTGCCAGGATGTGCATCGAAGATTCCTCCTCTCTTTCACAAAACCTGCACAGATCGCTACTATATATACCCAATTTTGTTAGGTGACTCCTTAGTCTACAGTGTCCAGTCAATAGACCGGTAAGTATCCTAAGGCTGTTCTTTCCCATGGTTATAATCTGTTCAGTATACGGATACTTGATGTCGACAAATAGAGCAAGAAATTGGACTGACTGAAATGGATTTAGTCTACTCCTAAGAAGTGAATTTATATGTGCAATGTTTCGAACGAGTGAGTTAGAGTATTGTTGAAGTTTATCGGGATGTTGGCTTGAAATTCAATTATGTATGTCCATTGAGGGTTTAATATGATGGTCCCTATGCAGAATTTCCTACTAAGTCTGATTATGAACTTTGTTAATGTGAGATTATGCGGACACTGCCAAGATGCCCTAAATACATATGTGAATATCCTTGTTTTAATAAGCCGGTCGATTTTCTTTTCAAGTTAACCTTTTGGAGCTTTAATGACTGGTCAAAAATTGGAGCTAAGTATTTATATGAGGGACATGAAGACGCACAATACAATACGAAAGACATAGGCGCCAATTGAGTTAGGTTGAGGCAAATGTCTCACAGAAGCCAAATGTCTTCTAGGTGGCTATTATCAAAAACGATTTAATTAAATAAGCAACTAATAGCCATATGGATGTCTCTTGACAGTACATTGTCGACTAAGAAGTCACCTAACTAAACTATGTGCAATGAATAGCGAACTCTGCGGATATTGTGATACGGAGTCCTCAAAGCACGTCCTAGCAGATTGTGTCACATTGGCCAGTAAAAGGGAAACATGTTTTAAGCTCCCGACATTCTCGTGGTGTTTATGGTAGACCTGTAGGCTCAGAAGGGGCCACAATATAGCTAAAAGGTTGCAGTGCATAAATCCCGCCAATAATAATAATAATTTGTGTGAGTCTTAAATTTACAAGGTACAACAACATAGAACAATATTCACATATACATTGCACAGGACTCTTCACCACACCACCGCTTACCCCCTTTAATGTGTTGTATGTTTTATAGCTGTCAAATGTTGCATGATAACGATATATGGTAGTTGACAGTATTGCTCGCCTATCTTAATTTCGTGTCACACATGAAATTGACACCCATTGTTTGTGTGCCTGAGTGCTTCAAATTTATAGCCATTTATGGGCCTGTGAGAGTTTAATAGCTCTGCCACATTTGTGAACAGCAACATACACTGATAAGCTGCACAATTACAAATAACAAAAGCGGAAAACAAAAACAAACGAATGCCAAATGGCCAAAAGTATTCGGAGATAACGTGTGGTTCTAAGCGCAACATTGATTGCCCCTCTGTGTGTACTTCATAAACATGCCACCAATGTGAGCAGCAGAAATACAAAAATGCTTGCTACTCTTGTGACCTTGAGTTGGGGGTTTGCAGCAAGCTGTGCTTGTGGCATAGGTAAATGCATTCAGGCACTCATGCATAGCAGCACGATATCCACTCTATTAGCTACACCTACTTGAACGCACTATTTGCCGTACAGCAGTACAGTACTACACTGGTACAAAGTACCAGTTATCGTGTTGCATGTACGCATCCACATTAATTGTTACTCAACTCCGGCACCATTATAATTTTCCGGCATTGTAGTTCTTATCAGTTACACTCTCTTATTGGCTCTCTTACTAACTGAATATTCAGCAAGTATTCAGCAGACGCCCTGGTATCTCTCTCTCTCTCTCTCTCTCTCCCCTCCTTGTCTCTCTCACTCACACATGCGCAGTGTGCAGTTGACGCTCTTATTGCGTTGCCTTTAATGTTTACACGATGTAAGTTGTGATTAGCCGCGAGTAGCTGATGTATTTTTCAACAAAATAACACATTTTCTTTTTATAAAAATCATCTTGCTGTTTTATTTGATCTGAACACAATCGTATAATTAATTTGATGTTAGGTGCAGATTATTTTTTTGGAATTCACAAATTTTTTAAGGTACAAACATTTGATACAAATATTCGGTAGTTGTTTGAATTAATGATAAATGTCCCAAATGATTCTATTGTAGAAAAAACAGTGAATCTTAAAAAATATAAATAATTTAAAAAATATGTAAAAGTATAATTTCGAAAATAGTTTTTATAATGCTAATATTTATGTTACAACATATGGCAATTTGTTTAAATGGGAATGTTTAAATAAGTAGGAGCCTATTATTTGCTATAAGATAGTAGTCATAGTAGGAGATAGTCTGGTTGTAGAAGGTATACTTTGAAACTCAGAATCGAAGATGGTTCTAATGACACTACATAGTAGTTATTACTGGGCGGTGAGCTAATACATTCTGCGGCATAGACATAGGGGGCATAGCAGTGAGAAGTGGGAAGGGGCAAGGGCAGAGGGGGTGACGTGTTATCTACACCTAACCGCGCCAAGTTAAAAGGCTCCAACCACGACTTGGCTTCGTTGAGCTGGCCGTGTCTGCACTATCCTGCTCAGGCTCCACCTGCTGCTGCTGCTGCTGCTGTTCTTGCTCGTCGCGATTGGAATTGGGTTCTATATAGGTGCGTAGTATGGTGTGCTTCTGTACGGATTTCTCGAACTGCGCCGCACTTGGACGATATGCCTCGAGCTTGTGCCTATACTTGCCGGAATGTTGCTGACTATTCTCCGTTGTGTAGGCCTGACTACCACCACGCGAGTTAGTGCCAAAGGAGTGGCCACCGGACGTGGACGACGCCTGTGATGCCTGTTGATTGAATTTAGAGTAGGAGGGGGAGGTGGAGGCAAATTGATTGTGAGGATTATTGTAATTTCGGTTTTTGTTTGAGTTGCTGTTGCTCTTGTTAATGTTGTTAGTCGGCTTGTTGTTGTTATTCTGGTTGCTGTTGCTGTAGCTAAACTCATACGTTTCAATTGTATTGCCGCCATAGACGCTATTGGGAGATGCACCGGGTGCGGCGCACAGACCCTGATAACGTGCCGAGGGTTTCATGCCATACGTGGAGCAAGAGGGTTTGCCCGCCTCATAGGGATTATAGCCGACAACGTTGCCACTGTGAAAGGGAACAACAAACAAACACAAAAATACAATTAATAATTGCACCAGTTAGTAAATGAATGATGTATGCTTACCCAGGTCCATAGTTGCACACGTAGAGCTTGTTGTATTTAATGTTATCCTTGTATTCGGCAAAGCCACAGCCCACCAAGCTGGTCTCACCCCAGACGAGCTGGGAGTAGTGGCCAGTTTTGGGGGACCAGGCATCGCCAAAGGAATACTTTTGTACCTCATTGAACCAGTTCTGGATGCGCGATGGAAAATCACCATCGTTAGCTTCCAGCGGTGCAGTGCTCCAAATAACGGCCAGATTTTGACCCATGGTAAAGCGATCTGTTTGTTAACATTAAAAAGATTTCATATAAGTATATCTTTGCCCAATAATATCATACAAATATGTGTTGCAGATGATATAAGCATGCTGGTTAGTATTAGTGTTTTATAGCGTTGTTCACCAAAACCAATGATCAGATGAAATGAAATACTTTACCATCGATTTGAACTGAAAACATGCAAACCACAAACCGCTGCCGGCTGTCATATTGTCGGCATTTCTTGTGCTATTTTGATTTTTGTGGGCGCAAAACATCACCGAATGGGGGCAACATAAAAATAAAGGGTTTCTTACTTATTGTGCGATGCGGATCGTGTCGGAACTGGCAATTGTCGGCCCATTGTTGGGCTCGGGCAGCCAGCTCATCGTCCCAGACTATCTCACGCATATTCTCGGCACCGGGTTGGCCCGGATACCGTCCGGTGGCCACAAGTTGCCTGAGGCGATTGTGTTCCTGCAAGATGATTGATCTCTCCTCGGTGCTGATGCCCGATGCTGAAATGATTAGGTCAAAATTAGCATAAAATATGTTAGAATATGTTGATGAGTCTTGGGGACATGCTATCATTTCTATTTTTGGTTTCTATATCCGAAACCAAAATGCTTAAAATATTAATTTTTTGTCTTTTGTTTCAGGCTATAATTTTGTAGCGACTTGGCTTAATGATGCTTTCTGTAAAAATTCAAAAATCCCATAGAAGCCGGTTTTATTTCTCAAATTCAAGTCTGCCTATTATTATAGGGGACATTTAATGGACTATCAAAATTAACATTTAGTTTAATAGTTTACATAAGTGCGTATATGGGCATATGTGCATTTTTGCATATACATTAAATTATATAGTGTATAGCCCATATAAAGTGTGCCAAATCTCTACAAACTTGTGTTATTTAAACATTTGTTTTTATTTTGTACTAAATTCAACCGGTTTGTGTTTGAAATAGAACACGAATTAAGGTAAAAGCAGAAAATGTTGAAGAAATAAAAGTCAAAAAAATAAAACGAATAAGCATTTAAAATCAAAGCGGCGCGTGCTGCTTAAAGGCGTCAATTAAAAAACCAACATTTGTCCATTAGCCACAATTTTGTTGTGCTTCTTTTCTTAGCCAGGTGAGTTTTAATTTTCGGCGCCTGACACCTGACTCATGATATATGGGTGTGAAGTGTGTCAGATAAATTGGCTTTGAGCAGCAGCCAGCTAAGCAATTTCAAGTAAATCATGTTTACGCTTAATCTTTTATTTATAAACTCAATCGAGCAATTGTTAAACTTGAAATAGTTCCACATAAAAGTGCCGCAGGGTGTTAAATGGGCCTGTGTGCGTGAGTCTCATTTATGTAGACTGTGTGTAGTTGGGAAAACCAAAAATGAAACTTCTGACGTTGGTCCTTGCAACCGCTTGGCGCTGGGCGTGTTTTATGCTTGATGCTGCCGCATTTCATTAAAATAATTACGAGTGCTTAATAATTTTTAATAATTATAATAATGGCTGACCGGCGATGGGAGCTGATTGCGCTCCGTGAGACGTGAGGGCATTTAAGTCTTCCTACTCCTAACTGCGGCCATGGCATCGCCGCTGCCGGTCAAGTGCAGCAATGTGCCACAGCCACAGCCGCAGACAAGTTGACGACGCGGCCAATAAGCAACAACAACGACAACAACAGCTACAAAACAAAGGAAATAAATTTACAGCTACGCTTTGCTGGCTTTGTTCGCACAAATATGGGTCTAGATGTCAATAGAGCTGCCCAAATTGCCACAGCTTCGACTTGGGCTGATGCTTTGGGGTTTAGTGAGTGTGTTTTTTGTTTTTGTCAAGGTTAGTGCGATAACTAAAAATAGCAGTGAGCGAGCGGCTTTTGCAGAACCCGTTGAGCTTCAAACTCAACCGCAGCTGTCAAATTAAAGACGTGTTAGTGTTATACACACACACACACATACACACACATTTATACACAAACAGAGAATATTTACATAAATATCAGTTGGCAGCATATTGACGGCGAACCGGTAAGCAAAAATCAACGCACAATAAGGCTACAAGTCAGTTTTGCATACATACATACATACATACGTGTGTATGTATGTATAGATTTTTGCCTGAGTCAATATGCATCAATCAATGCGATGCTTGAGTGCATTGTCGGGCGCTATGCAAATTGTTTGTGGACTACCTTCTCTGACAAATTGCACATAAAGCTGTCGATCAGTTTCCGCAACAAGCCAACGGCCATATTTACATATTCTTGGCGGTGCAATGAAAAAACAAAAATAAAATTAAGAAAAAACTCAAGACGATGATCAACACTGATAATGTTGACAACGAAACGTCAACAGCTTCCAATAAGTTTTTGTGCTGCCAAAACGAAAGACTTAAACAACAAACTTGAATAGCAACAACAGACAACGACGCTGGCCCAGACAGAGCGCAGCCAGCCAAATGCCAACAATATGTTAACAAGTGCTTAACTGCAGTTCGGGCCAGGCGTTGACTTCACCTTGAACATGGCGAGAGGGGCAGCAACGGGAAGTGACCAGCTCGCTGTTCAACTTGCCAACACACGTAGCACGTATGTCTGCTGCCTGAAGTTCACAGAATCAAAAAAAAAAAAAAAAGAAGAAAAGAAGAAAAAAAAAACAAAAGCAGAGACTCCTCTGACGCGTTTATCTGAAGTTAATTCGCATAGTTATGCTTTATGTTGGCCGCAACATGTTTTGTTTCCATTTATCATTTACTGATTATCACCCAGCTACCCTTGTTGACTGTTGTTCGTTCGTTGTTCGTTGTTCGTTGCTCGTTGTTTCGCTGCTCATCTACATATTTAATTACATTATTAGCACGGCAAGCTTTTGATTGATGCCGCAGCAAAACGTTTCAGCCGCAGACTCCATTTGTCAACGGCTGATGCTGCTGATGCTGCGATAGCCAACTGTAAATTGTCATTTATGATTGGAATCGATATCGTTTGATTTGTGATTTTCGTTTGTGTTTGGCATTGTTCGGCAACTCAATGTTGAACACCCAAGCGTAAAAGCAATCATTAATCAAAAACGTGCACACGCGCACTATAAAGCTCTCTTTTTATTTCTTTTATTATCACTAATTTCGTCAACAAACAAACAACTTGAATTGACTTTTGTGTTTTTCTGCGTGTGCAGAACACAAAGCATTCAATGTTGCTTAGTCAAGAGGCGTCTTGATCATTTCGCTGATCCACTTGGCATAACATACGCCCCAAGTCTCTGAATTCAATGTTTTTATAATTTGCTGATTGTTTTTCAAGCAGGTGTCTGATCTGCGACGCCTTTTAATTGGGTGACTTCCAGTTCTATTACTAAAGATAAATTACCTTCACGTGTGGAACAGTTCAATGAGCTTGTTGCTGCAAAATCATTTTTGCACATTTTCATAACTGTGTTATAATTTGTTATACTTATGTTCATAAATAATTACAAATAATTATTCGACTGACAAAAATGCTAATGGAATTAAGTATCTCAAATATATTGAGATTTTTTTTCTTTTTGTTAGCTGTAGAGTTGATTGGCCTTTGGACAACTGAGAGATTATGATTATCATTTGCGAGAAACAAACAGTATTGGCATATTTATGTAGTTTTCATTATATTTAAAATATTATATAAACTTGAAATTCGAACCGGTTCCATTAGTTTAGTGCTTCCCCAAAACAATTAATTATTCAATTTATGTAATGAGCTGCTGTGAAATCGTTTCAAAAGACAAGTTGCCGACCAAGCAAGCAGCAGACTTGATTTCAAAGAGTTTGACAAAGTTCTCGAGCACACCTCGCACTGAGTGTTTGTGTGTGTTTCGTACTTAAGACTATTGGCTGTGATTTTCACTAAACGCTAACTAAACAATACATTGTGCTTGCAAATATTTACCAACATCTACGAATACAGTCGACAATCTCATAAACGCCTTTTTTGTTCATTCATTCATAAAACAAATTACAAAAACGTGCCTGAAATCTGCTTAGAGCAACAACAGAACATAATAGAAGAATTAAAATAGGAAAAAAAAAAAAAAATTAAACTGCTTTAAACGCGTAAATGTGACCAAAAATATGTGCATTATTCTGTCGCAATCTATTTAAGCATGCCACACAGGAAATTCCTGCTTCTATTTGATTTTGATTAGGTTTTTTTAATGCCCCAAATCAGGCGTTGAGCATACAAATTGATTGAAGTCAAGTCGGAAATTAGGGTTGGTCAAGTGGGTATATTTTATGTTTCAGTATTATTCAACCTACCGATTAGCTTTCCATGGCAGGCGAATGCCACTCCACTGGAGATCAAAATGAGGGCCAGAGGAAATAACGCACTTTGCTGCATCTTCATCATAATTAATCTTATTTTCTTTTTTTTTAGTTAAATTTGTTAAAAAAATGTGTAAAATTGAATCACTTTCGTGTTGAATTGCACTTAATTGAACACTTTTATACTTTGATTTAAATATAAGCTTTTCATGAACAACAGACAGTCTTATATTTAATGCACTTTAGATTTAATTTTAATTTATATATTGAATTTTGTTTGCCGCGCTGTAAGCGAATCACAAGTTTTCGTAGCGGGAAATGTGGGGAATGATGGCTTTCAAAAATTTTTGTCCAAATACCGAAAAAAAGCGTCACGAAATTTGCCGACGACTCCAACTCCACTCTCGTGCGTGCAGCTAGACTTGAAGGCGTCGTCTGTTTGATTGGACGCTGTCCGACGCTTACGTTTATATACCAACACATCGACTGCGTCGGCGACAGCAGCCGCTGCGCGCGAGCAGTGGCAGAGCAACGGCAACAACAGATAACAGAGCCGCAAAGAAGCTCACGATCAACCTGTCGCCGGCGCTCAGGCGAGAGCGAACAGATGCGTCGACTGCGCAGTCAGGTGTCAGCTGCTTGTGCCAACTATTTGCATGTGAATTTTGTATTAATTCAAACGTGAAAGGATATCCAATCAAAAATATATATTTACATATATTTTTTATTATCTAAAGACAAGTCTTCAACTTTCTTACACATGTTTTTATTGTTTTTTGAATTGATCACGTTGAGCACAGCGGCGATCAAAACATAAGCTTAACATGCGCTGACTGTTAAGTCCAGCAACATGCTGTTAACATAAAATGTTGCAAACGAAATAATGTTGCTGGCCTCTTTGGCAACTTGGCAAGCGTCGAACTAAAAAACGATGAAAGCTACAAAAATTGTAAAAAGCCTGTATATATTTCTTAGTATGGTATATAAAAAAAATTATATAAAAAATAACATATTAATAAAAAAAAAAAACGTAACTTGCGTCAGCAAAAAACCTATTTGAAATATGACTTAAGTATTAAATTCATTTAATTAATTATAAATATGACCTAAAAATTGTAAACAATTATTTTTTGATTATATTTTGTTTTGCATATTTTGCTGGTAGTTGCTAGCGGCTCGGAAAATGATTGTGTTCTTCAATAATTGCCGGCAAATACATTGATTGAACTTTATTTTGATCAAAGCGCAATCTGCAACTGGCTGGTTTTGGGGCAACAATCACTCGGATGCTGGGGCGTGGCATTTGTTGGGATACACTGCTGATAAGTCAAAGGGGCAGCGCTTGGCCTGCGGCCAGGAGCTTCGATCATTTCGCGTATCATTAAAAGCCAATAAAAACACCCAATTAAATACCGAGAAACGGAGAATGAAAAATCCAAAAACTGAACAACTTAAAAACGTGAATGCAACAGAACAAATCCCAATTGAGCCTTTCACCCAGCGAGCAGCAGCATATAAAACTGACAATGGGCCAGCCAGCAGAAATATAGTGAGTTGTTGTATATATATATATATATATATTGTAGTAGTAGGACATGGGTAACTACAAGTGGATACTCGTAAAATTGGACCAGGTTCGCATTTCCGCTTTGCGTATTTTCGCACCGAACTCGGCGATCGGGCGAACAGTTGATCGGGTGAACGGGCGACATGGCTTCTTGCCAAAATAATTACGCGTACAAAGCCATTAACAAGTACAAACGATTGCGCCGGCTTCTTGGCCAGCAACAGGCAACTGGTTTAAGCCGCAGTCCTTACAGCCCGATTCCGAATGAATGCCACACATGACGTTTGGATTGCGATCAGCAGAGAGCCACAGAGACTTGCAACGGCGGGGCAGTGTGACGTCTCAGATGCACTCCTGATTTATTTTATTTCGCAAAAAACAACATAAACATTAAAAAATTATGCTTTGCAAAAATATGAAATAAACATGTGTACGTACGTATGTGTGCAGCTGCTTCTTTGTTGAACATTTCTCAACTCTTCTTGTTTTTGCAACTTGTTGTGCCTGTTGTTTCTCGTTGTTTTGTCGATTGGCTAGTTTACATTTCCTACTTAGCCATCCACTTCATTACGTTTTATTTGCGCTTAAACAATAAACGCACACTCACACACACACTCACACACACTCACACACATGCTGTTTAAATTTAAACAAACATTATTGACCTTCAGTGCCGGCGCCAAGCCAACCATTCCATTTGATTCTGGCTGCTTGCATTTGTATTTGTATCTCAGAGTCTTTATGTATCTGTGTGTTTAGTGCGTACGCATGTTAAGCAAGCGCAAAAATGTATATACATATATAAAAACATATTTATCTGCTTGTTATCGCTGTTGTTGCTGTTGCTGTTGATTTGTGTTGTTTTATGACTCAATTTAATGTATTTGTTAGTGTTACGCGTGCTGTTCATTTTGTATTCAGTCGCCACCCACCTGGCATCAGTTGGCACTCGACACACAACACTCAACGCTCAACACTCGCCACTCATTCATTCATTTATACGATTGTTTAGTTAAGCTGATACATGTGTTTAAAATAACGGAAGCAAAGCAATACAAATTATACACTTTACTTGTTTAAGCCGGAATCCTTTCAATATCCATTTATAATCTTTACTAGGAAACTGACTGCCTTCCAACAGCCATGATTCATGCACCTTTTCCTCTTTCTCGGAAAAGCAATTAAGCAAACATACTCGAATGGTATTCCCGTAAAACTAACTGAGTCAGTTAGATAGATAAGAAGTTCAACGATTCCATATTTATCTGTAAGGTCAACGATGTCACAGGGTAAACACAATATTTCCATTTGATGTTACAGCTATTGAAAAACGAGGTCGAGTGCTGATAATTTGATCTAATCGGACAATTTGCTAGTGAAAAATATTTGCTTACTTTTGTTTATCTCTGACATCGGTTTGCGGAACTACTATGTACACATCAGTTTGTCATTTATCAACAGTTGTATTGTGGGTGCAAATCAGACAGTGGAGTGGAGGTGTGTGTGAAAGGGGAGGGGGAGGGGGGAGTATGTCCAATGCAAGTGGCCACATCAGTGTCAGTCAAAACGATGCCGCATCCTTGTTGCCTGCTGCTCTTCCGGCGCTCCATCAATCTTTCAGCAAATGTGCAATTGCCACTCCCACTTGAACTGCCTGTGTTCATTTCAGAGATGCGCAACCACAGCAACAACAAGTACAAACAAATACAACAACAGCAAAGAGTAAAAGCGGTAAATTATTCGTTTAGTATTTGTCCGGAGTTGTCAGAATTAATTGCACTTCGGCTTATATAAGATAACATTTCAGATTAAATTGTTTACAATTTATAAAAAGGCTAAATTTCCAACAATTGAATGAACAAAAATATCAAAATGAATCCATATTTTTTTAATAACTTTTTTAAGTTTATAATAAAACCTGTGTACAAAATTTAAGCTGAGTCTAATCTTTTCAAAAAAGAAACCTGAATTTTTGTAGACATTAAACAGACAATTAAAAATGTCGTAAATAAATATAAAGAACTTATCTTTTGAAATATGTATTTCTAAATTTGACATTAATGTATTTAAAATGTTTGCCCCGATAATCAAGACACATTCCGAATATGTTAAATACTATTTATATGACTTGTTTAGCCAAATCACGAGAAAATATGAGCGTATTGTGCAACCTAATTATAGTTATAGTTTATAGAAAATTAATAAATCAGGAAATAAACTCAGCACAATATATGCACGGAAAGTGGCTAGCATATGGTCAACCTTATAATTGTATAATCACAGTACACAAGTGTAAGTCACGGTTATAAATGTGAATGCCATGTAAATGCGGCTCATCTCCATTTCATGCGATGACAAAATACTTCCATAACATTTCAATCTTTGCACTTGACACCAGCGATGCCAGCGACTGTTATTAAATATTATTAATTACAATTGTTGAAACTCGTCGCAATCGCAATGGCAGTTGCCGGCGCTGTCGCTTGTGTAGCAACAACAATTTGACAGCAACATAATTAATATGTCATATATAGTTGTAGTTGTACACTCAGAAAAAATAAAATCTCCCTAAATTTTCGAAAATCGTCCTGAAAACTAGTTGAGTTTTCAAATTTTTCAATACATTTGCTAAACAAAAATCTTAAAATAAGAACAAATTCTTTTCAACTTTTCAGAAATGTATTTGCTAACAAGAAAAATCTAAAGTATAGAAATAAAAACCATTTTCTCGAATTGTATTAAATAAATTTATTCATAAGCTCTCTAAAAGGATTATATATGTGAAATCTTAAAATGCCAATGCTTAATAATAATATTTTTTATTAATTTTTAGAAAAATGTGCCCAGTATTGAGAAAAGAAATAATCTGGACTTTAGTGCGACACAGTCTGCAATTTTTAAATATACCCACTGAATAATAAGGTAAGTTAGCCCTGCACCCAAAATTATGACGATTTTTCAAAATTGGACATTTTCTGAGTGTGTTTGTTGTTCGAGTTGATTGTGGATTCGATAAAAATGCGCGTGAGAGCTGAGCATTAAGCAATCGTTGCATCTTCATTTCAGAAACTGTCTGCATATGGGGTACGAGCACATATATATCCAATATCAATGTGATGGCCATAAATAGCCCACGTAGTGTAATAAAATTGAATCTTAACTGGACTGTCTCACACTTGCCAAGTGTTTAAAGAGCGACCCATTAAAAAAGCACAGAAAACATAAATGCCATGTCGCGCGTATGAATGAAATGGCCATAAACATGTGGCTTATTTATATGAGTATTCATTTGAGAGACGATTTGATTCTTATGCTAAATTAATTCATATGCTGATCAATCTGTGTATGATATATGCACACACATGCACACCGCTAGTTAGCATATTGATTTTGGACGATATGGACACTGGCTGTCTCTTTGTCTCTCTGTCTGTCTGTCTGCCTGTCTGTCTGTCTGTTTTTTGAACTTCTGCCGGCACAAAAAACGCAAACTAAAACAGAAATCGAAACTTGTACATCGCCCATCGACACATGCGCAAAATACACACCTTCATTAATTCGCTTTTTGGTAGCCAGTGATTTTCATTAAAAAGCCGTCAGCGTACAATAAATTTTGACTCGTTTTTTTTCGCATGTTTTTTTTCGCTTTTGGGCCTTGCTGTGTGCTGACTTTGGTTGGGTTTGTAGTTGACTTCATTATGACCAAGTTCGCTGTGTATAACTTCAGCGCTCTTTATCGCGCCATGGTCTGGGATCGATTGAATATATGCATATATATATATATATATATATATATATATTTATGAATGTATATAGATACTCAAATCGATGTGGCATATTGATTTATGTGTATTGGGCTTGGCTGCATGTTAGCCGTGCTATCTAAATCAACAAGCTTAAGCAGACGCACACACACACACTCACATCCATATGCAACTGGACAGCTTAATCAAAGCAAACGATGCTACGCATAATATATTAACTGCTGTCAGCCGGAAAAGATGAAGATAAACAAACCGAACATCATAACAACTATGGAAATACAATACACAAATTAACAAACCATTATTACCGCCTGGCTAACGGTTCCAAGCCAAGTCCGCTGTTGGTGGTCTTTTCGGGTTAGCTTCTTTTATAGATAGTCGACACGCTTGGGAGTCGCTCGCCTTGAGACTTAAAACAGCGAACTTGCCACTTGCCACTTGGCACTGGCAGCTGCCACTGTTCGTTCCATTTAGTAACATAATAATAACATAATTATACAAAAATGCTCGATCTGAGATACATATTTCTATTTGTATCTACGTGTATTATCAAGCATATACAATATATATACATGGGAAAGGTCACGCTTGGCCTAAGCTCTACGGAAGTTCCAGCTAAAGCAGTTTGATCGCATTTAATAGTTGTGATATCATAATCTGGCAAAGGAGTCTTAACTATGGCAAACCGAAACTTTGGTACGCTCACTTTTATACCCTAAACAAATTGAAAGTGATTAAATAGGGTTTAATGAAGCTGTACAAAAGTATGTAACAGACAAAAGTACAAACGGATCAAAGATCATATTTCACGCACAATAAAATCCACAATCTTAAAAGAATAGCTTTCTAATTAAAATAAGATACAAGATTTCAAAGCTGGGATAAAAAGCACATATGTTATTCCGATATTGAACATATTCCTATCGATTAGCGAAGTGAGCGTAAGTATCGATTTTATGTATATAACATGTGGGTTCAAAGTACCTTCTATAAAATAAAGCTTACTTAATATATTCTAATATTTCTTAAGAAAAATGCTCTGTTAGACAGCAGTAAAAATCCATTTATAAATAATTTTATTATCTTGTTAAATAAAAAAAAAAATAAAATGTTTCTCAACAATATCTTACTGAGTCTTGGAAAATTTTGCTCAGCTCGTGACAATTTTATTATCATGGTTAATAAGACTATCCCACAGATAAATCGTGCTAAGTTTTTATAGTTTTTTGTGTCATTAACATGCTACGCTGGGAACTGAACTGATTTGAACTACAAGGTGTCATCGAAACCAGTTAATCCATTGTTTTTCATTTGTACCCAAGAAATAGCTCACTTTTTTTTTTTACACACATTTAATTCTGCCTTTAGGTACATACGCACACATACAATTTTGTACAAAGACTACAAATAAATAATTACAAGACTGAGTTACATTTCGATTTTTTATGCGCCTTCCTTAATGCATCGAGCGCAAGAAGTATTCCGACTAAGCTGAAGCCTGTCATATAGCCAGCGTACATCCATTTGTGATGGGAACCATTAAACGAAAATGGCATTCGAATCACATCGCCGGCTTCGGCTTCGCAATCACTCATAGTTGTTGTCATAGGATACGGAGCGGCCGCCTTGATCACCAGTGGCTTTTTGTGCAGAATGGTTGCGCCACCGAAACTGGGCACATCGTGTCCAAATTGTTTGTGACGCATCGATGCCTGATACTTGACCCAGGCCCTGTGCACATTCTTGTTCGTATAGCTAATGTCCACCGGCTGCACCATATAGAAGCGTGTCCTCAGTCGCCTGTTGTAGTGTTCGCGTGAGGCACGCTTGTGGAGTATCTTGTAGGCCTCGCACACCCGCACAAACTCTTCCGAATCTCGCGTGTGGATATTGGCATCGGGATGATATTTCTTGGATAGCTCGATGAATGCACTTTTAATCTCTGATTCAGTGGAGTTGGTGGACACATTGAGCACATCATAATAGCTGCGATATCCGTTTATCATCGAGCAGGCAAAGTTCGAGTGAAATGTTGCCATTCGACGTACCGGATTGAGAACGGTCTTCTTTTGGATGCACTTGATCATTCTGATAATTTAAATTGTTTATCGAAATATGCTTAAACTATCAATTTAACGATTCCGCAGAACTGTATGTTTATTTTAATAATATTTTATAAAATCATTAATACTGACAGGTTTTCCTGAAATTGCTAATTGTGTAAGCAATAAACATCAACTGACTCAACTTCAACCATGTTAACTAGCTCAAAGGTAGAAAACTTTTACTTATGATTCATCTTTTCGTTTACGCAATAACATTTCATTTAATAAACAACTAAGACCCACTAAAAATGGTTAAGCGGGTATCATAAAACTGTTCAAATACTTCCCCCAAAAAATTGGAAAAAAAAAATTTTCCTTACCATTTTGCAATAAATTTCATTGATTTTACAGGGTATCTCATAATCACACTCGAGAGCGGTCTGATTCAATTGAAGACTTTGTTAGTGATTCAACGGAAGCTTTTGCTTTTCCCACTTACTTATTTATCTACAGGGTCAGACACACAAATTGGGAATCGGGGCAAGAAACGCTTTTGTCAACTCGTGTAAAGAGCGACCCTGGGCAGAATGTGTGACCAAGATTAAATTGTTGGCCCAATATATGTATTTATCAGATGCTTGACCTTGGACGAGTGACAACGAACTTGGCAATGAATCAATTTGGCCAATACTTTATTTGGCCAGACCCATGCTTAGTTAGCTATGGAAACCCAGACTACACTCTGAAAAATTTTATTTTGAAAATTTAAAAATCCTAGGGTAACTCATCTTATTGTATAGAAAGTATATTTCTAAAACGATAATGTTTCTTTTCTCATTTCCTGGAAATATTATGCGTAAAAAAAGAACAAAAATTGTGTAGTTTCCAGGCAGTAATATATAAGTTTATTGTTGCTTATATTACTTATTATATATTCAAATTAACATTTTAAATAGTTTAAAAACTATAAATTAATTGCAGTTAATTTTAAATTACTTGGAATTCGAGCCCGAAAACTTTTGTTCACGTTTTGAGGAAATTTCACTTCTCTTTTCTGATAACCTTTTTTTTCATAAAACCTTTTTTGTATTTTTACTTTTTATAAAGATTTATTGGGAAATATTTTTCTGATTAATAGAAAAATGTTTAGAATATTTTTTCTTATATTTCGAAGTTACTTCTAAAGACAAGAAAATATTTTTAGTTTTTAGAGCGATTTTATTTAAGAGCAATCTTTTTTCTGTGTGTATTAAGACCAATATTGACCCAGAAATTGGACAAGTGTGGGCGGCTAGCCGAGGTTCGACGTCATTTGAGCAAAACAAAACAAAACAAAAAAAAGCTGAGATAAACAATTCCATTGAACTTGGTTTTCACAGACAAACTCATTCGTATTAGCAATTGCTTTCTTGGTAGGTGGCAAATGCTGTTTACGCAAATTATTATCAAAACTTTTATTGATGTCGTAGTTTATTGACACAGTCACACACAAGCAATTCGAGCCCAAAATCGATGACAATTTCATGCGAATTTCAATGCCTGCAAAATATTTGCACAGCCAATGATTGATTCGGGTTTTGCCGTCTACGAATGAATTATATTAATATCAAATTACTCATTAGACTTACATTTAGCTAGATACGATACGATGCTCATTCATGAGAATACGCAAATCAATAGAATTAGTAAGACCATAAATTGAAATCTCAAATGCAGATGTTTTATTGTTCATTAGAAAAGACGTAACTTGAGCAGCTTGGCTTGGCTTAGGATCACGCCTGCCAATTGGTAAAAGTGAAGTCTTTTCTGTTTCTCCCTTGTAGCGTGGCACATTTGGTAAGATGTTGGCACCACTGTGCACGGCAGCTGCCATAAAACATCGACTGGTCATATTCAATATGTTAATTGATACTAAAAACTGAAATAAAAAACAAAAAGCCAATGAACACAAAGTTGGCATTTAAAAATTGAACAATCTCCCCGGCCCAAGCCCACATCGAAAGAGACCGGTGTCAGACCCAGTTTTGGACCAACTAGCGACAGTCGGGCTGTGGCGAAAGCCCTCGCTTAAAATGCAAAACAAGAAAAGAAGCAACAATAATTGGAAACGGGTTCTATTGTTGAACTAACTGCCAAGCTTTTAATATAAAACCAATTCAAAGATATATACGACAACTGGTGACTGGTTGTCTCCGACGAACTCTGGCTCATTTGTCTAAGTAAATATTAAATGATATGACTATTTAGTTTCAGCTTTAGCTTCAGCTTCAGCTTCAGCTTTGAGTGCGAGTTTAGTTTCTTTTTCTTATTCATATTCTTCAGGTTTTTTTTTTGTTTAATGGTTTTTTTTTATTATTTTGATTTTGGCTAAAAGTCCTCTGACGGTTGTCATTAGATTTTATTGTTGGGTCAATGAACAAGAGACGAGCTATGACTGTATCTAGCTGTGAGTATGGTTTATCGATTCGATTTGCTTGGTCTTTAAGCAATTTAAATTATTCATGTGTCAAGTTGAAGGCTGCTTTTATGCAACGTTTCGCTTTTGTAAATCCATCCATCCATCCAACTTCTTTGAGCGGGAGATTATAATCTTGCGATTGTCTGTGATTCAATTAAGACTGAGTATGCAAACCGGCTAGAAACGGAAATACTCACTTCTTCATTGCGATTTGCGATTTGTTTTAACCAACAATTTAAAATACACAATAATTCTTGCTAAACTTTTTAAGAGTATTTGCTTTAATAAATAATATAGAGTTTAATTTATTTTGATTTTAGTATTACAGGTTTAAGTTTTATCTAGTTAGGAATGACTTGTGTTGTTGTTGATTTTGTCGTTGTTTGAGGGTGTCCAGCACGCTGCTCCCAACTTCATCAGCCTCATCAGTCGCATTGCGAAGCCCAAGAATACTCATACTTAAATTCGATTTAATCTTAATGTATGCAGATATTATATATAGCCCAGCTCATTATTGTCTGCCAATCAACTTTAACAAGGTACCAAGTTTTGTATCTCAGTTGCCAACTGCTCACATTACCTGTTCTCAAATTCAGACTTTGTGTTGCTTAGTTTGGAAGTGTGTTTTTTTCTAGTTTTTGTTTTTGTTTTTTTGGTTTTCTTGGAAGTGTCATCAATAAATCCTTAATGTGCATATAAAATGATGGGGTTCATTTAATTAATACTACCAACGACTTCATTTAGCCGCTGATTAGCCAGGTCTTCAGATAGACAAACGCCGAGGCGGCCACCTGCGTTAATTGCTGGGCAAATGCTGCAAAGGAAGATACAAGATAAGAACATAAACTTTATTAGATATGCAGGGGGGCTCAAGCTCTTTAATGTGCTGAAATAAAACGACGACGACTGCAGCATCAAGTAATTTACATTTACATTTTAATGCTGCGGAGCAAACCCGCAAATGAAAATGCATCCATTTAACCCATGAGACGACTTCAACTCAACGCAAAGCCTGCCCAGATTTTACGAGAATTACGACTAAAGAAATGGCAAACTGTAAAACGAGTGTCGGACACTGAGCCCTCTAGCCCCAACAAATTGACAAATATATTGCGCGGCTTACAAGAACACCTTTAACAGTTAACCAGGGCAAAAGGGGTGGCAAGGTGTCAAGGGGGAAGCTTTTAATTTAAATGCGAGTTGATTAATTGGGGTCTTAGGGGCTGCATATACGGAAGCTAATTGCACATAAATTTATGTGCATATTTAATGATATATTCAACGATTGCGCAAATGCGCATAAGTCGGCCATAAATAAGCGATTTTATTTGGTGTTTATCATTATCAATTTTATTGAGACCATAAAGTGAGCTGTTGTTGTTGTTGTTGTTGTTATTATTATTATTGTTGCTGTCGTCGCATTTAAGAGCTTCCTGGAATGTGAATAGTATGAGTATAATATGAGTAACTAATATGAATAACTAATGCATCAAGACTTAATAGAAAAATAAACAATCTGTTTTGTTTTGTTTAATACATGATACATAAGTTTTATTTGACTTATATCCATCTTGTTTCGATATACAATATATTCGTATAATATAATTTCACTTAGATTTTGTTTTTTTTTTAAATTTATTTTTAATTGTTTACAGTTTTTTGGTAGATCTTTTACATTTCTTTTTTGTTATCTATTTATTTTTGTTTCCTTGAATTATAGCAGATCGTATTTAATTTAGCAATTGTTCATTATTGATTTATCTCTTTGTATTTCGATTTTTCTATTTGTCTTGTTGTTATTATTTAGCAGAATTGGTTTTTGTTTAGATTACATATAGTATAATTTATATATATATATAAATATTCAGTAAAATGATCCCTACTTTTTGTATGCTCATGACATAATTTTCTAAATGTATTTATTTATGTATCTTGTGTATACAGTGTTTTCATTTTCATTTTCAATTTCTTTGTTTTTTTTTCTTTTGCTTTTTTTTGTTTTTCTTCATTACCTTAAAACATAATTTATGCTTTGTGTTTTGTGTTTGGGTGTGTTTGGGTGTGTTTGTGTGTGTGTGCCTGTATACATATAAGTTTGTCTTTTCTATTCCCATTAAATTTAAAGTAATTTCTGCGACAATAATAATAATTATAATAATTTCATCGTTCGACTATAGACACATACATAAACAAATGCATTTCCATAACGTTCTTAATATACAAATACAATTTTGCTGAACACTAAAGCGCCTCACAGAACATACTCAATTACAATCAACTAAAATGGAGCTGCCATATAATAACTGTAGATGTTAATACATACACACATACATACATATATATGTATGTATATATATGTATCTGTGACTTTTTCTTTTTTAAGATTGACATTTATTTGTTTGCGTTTTATTGTGAATTTCTTAAAGTGTCGAGCTTCTTGGTTAACTATAACAAATAACAATTATTATAGGGAGCTGCTGACTTTAAACAGATCCAGTTTTCTTGGGTAGTTTGAAAAATTAATCTATTATCATGTTTGAAGCGGCAACTACGACGAAAGAAATGAAGCAAATTTCAATGCAATAATGTCTTTAATGTTTGTTAGACAAATTTCAATTGAAGAGCAGTCTCGAAAATAGGATTTTACATAATACCAAATAATAATTATATTGAAATGCTTGGCATGATTAAAAGCTACAGTTGGTTTTAGTCGTGAATGTTGACACAACATATTTATTATTATATTTATATTTAAATTTATGTTTTATTCATTTTTTGCTTAGTTTTTATTTTCGTTTTGGTTTTGGTTTGGCTTTAATTACCACTAACAAGTAAGAACACATATTTAACCACAATTTATTTGTTTTTTTTTTTTTAACCATTTGACTCAACACCTTTACACAACGTCAAATGTTACAGTTACAGTTATATATTTTGAGTTGTTGTTGTGTTTGTCTAATCAGCTGCTTAATTTTTACAAATTGCCTACTTAAAAAGTCATAAATCAGAGCCTTACACTTGCAGCTAAGTATTATTAATAATATTTTTATTATTATTTTTATTTTTTTTTAATATCATGTAATTGTTTTCATTTGTTTTTGCGGAATTCAGTAATTCACAATTTATAATTATAATTATATAATAAAACTAAATAAACAATAGGCCATATATTGATATGTATTTGATTTTTACACTTTTAAAAAAACCGTGCTCAAACTTTATCAAACATGCTTTTACATTCGTTAAGTAATTGTTGTTGTATTTTGTATTATGTTTTATGTTTTTCTCTTTATCTTTGTCTTTGTCTTTGATTTTTTCTTCCTCTTATATTGAACTTAGTATTTTCTGGAATATTCTTGTGTTATGCTATATGTGAGTTATATGCAGTATTGTTCAGTTATAAGTATTTGGTATGTTTATTCTTCAAATGCATTTCTGTGCTTGGCTTTTAACATTGTGTGTACTTATGTGTGTGTGTGTGTGTGTGTGTGTTTGTGTGATTGTATTTTCTTGTTGCTCTTATTACTGTTGTTCTTTGAGTATATTTGATTTATTTTTTTAAATTATTTCTGCATTGATCGCAATCAACGTTTAACATTCATTGTACACTTGTCGTCTACCGTCTAGAACTGTGTATTTTATTATCAGATGTCGTAGCTGATATAATTAGTAACGTTTCCTTAATACAACAAACCGAAAATTTAACTTTGCATTTGATTTTTTTTTTTGTTTTTTGTTTTTTGCTTCTTTATATTTTTGTTTTCTTGTTTTCTGGTATTTTGTATTTGTATATATATGTGTGTGTGCATCACACACAGGAGAACCTAAAACCATTAACAACCTAAAACACATTGATTATATTTCTTGCATTTCATATAGACGCTTAACTTAATGCATATCGGATCTGGCTTGGGTAGGGTATAGAGGGTATTTTGGGGAGTAGAGAAAGAGTGTGTATGAAGTGTTGTGTGGAGTTTTGAGTTTTGAGTTTTGAATGTAAACAGCATATGTATATCAATTATTTGCATAATTATCATAAGTATGTTTAGTATATCTATTAGCACTATTATGTATACTCTATATATAAATTCTTTTACAAATAGCAGACTACAATATCAAAAGCACACTGTGGATATTTTGAGTGCCCTTCACTATTAACTTTATAATTATAAGTAGTACTATATTCATTAGACGCTTGGAAGAACGGCAACAGAAAATCTGAATTCTCAAAAAATAATATCAATTAGATGCGATTACAAGTTTGTGAGATGTCTGTGTGTTTGTGTTGTGTGTGTTCAGTGTGTGTTTCTTTATGTGTGTATATAAAAATTTAGATCTATAAGCATAACACTTGGAATTTGTCTTTCGTTCGTTATCTCGTTTGCTTCTAAGGCGAAATATTATATTGTCAATTCTTTGGCTTGAGCCGAAAACCATGCAAAATGACAAAATATATATTTCTCAGAGGGGAGTTTAAAGGAGTTTAAGTAAAACCAACTTAAATCGGGGAAATACAGCATTTAAACATTTGTCAATCTTCACTTAATTGTTTTCGTTAAAGTTGAAAAGGCAATAGGCGTAATACACAGTAAATTCCTTAAGTATACCTAAAATCCTAATGCGCCCTATGAATGCTCCCAACAAATACCGCAAACAATGCCCAACTGGAGGAGGTCTTCCAATATCACGGACTTTTCACATTTGCGGAATTTGCTGACTCGCAAAGAAGTAAATTTAAAGTACTTATGGGGGAGCAGATGGAAAACCATTTGGCATAATTATTTATCAATTGGTTAACAAAGTTTTGTGCACTTATGCGGAAACTAAGGAAGGGCAGATAATTCAAGGGTTTGGGGACCAATTTTTTTTTTTTAAATTGTAACTCGCTTAAAGCTAATTTATTTGGAGTTAACAAGTTAGTTTTTGTATTTATTCAACTCTTGCCATACATTGTTCTCAATACGCAGTAAAAAATGATTATGTTTTTAGTTTTACATTTTTCGTTATCTTTTTTTAAATATACTTTTTTTTTAATGCAGTTGTCTTCAATCCGGCTTGCCTTGCATGGTATAAAAATATAAACGTTCACATATACTTAAAAATCGTTAAGTTATTATATTTGTCATCAAAACGTTTTTAAAAAGTAATTGAATCGATTGATAATTTATAAAATCAGGAATGAGTTCATATTACGGTTTTTTCTTTTGCCATTATTTAATTAGTAATGTTAAATACGAGTACGAGTATGCGTTTTTTTGTTTTTTTTTTTTTTGGTTGTAATTTATTATTTTGTCATTATAATCATAGATTCTTGTAGGGCAATGTTGAATTACTTAACTAACATTTTTGTCTTTTTTGCTTGTTTTTCTTATGTATTTTCCAATATTCATTCTTCATGGAATTAGTTCATAAGTGAGCTTTACTATCGTTGCTTGTCTTTGGTGTTCTAGTAGTAGTTGTGTTCAGAATATAACAGAATAGTTTGCATGCTTAAACTAAATGTGAGTCCAAAATTTGGCAGGTTGGTTCGACAAGAGCCTTGGCCCACAAACATATATACGACTATACGTATATATGCATGTATATTGCCTTGTTGCAGCTGCTCTCGATTTATTGTGCCAACGTGTCCATTATTAATCCAACCTTATCAAGTTATGTATAGTGTCCTAAGTAATTGTTGATAATTCTTGTTAAATTTCACATTGAATTGTCCCTAGTTGCTACAGTTGAAAGCGAACATCGCTCAAATAGGCTTGACCACATTACAATATATATATATATATATATATATATAGAATATATATTATATGTATGTATATATATATATATATTTATATATACTTAGTTACTTACATCTAAAAACAATATAATATTCAATTATAATTGTTTTGTATTTAGAGTTTTTAATAGATACAATTAAATGTACTCGTAAATGTAAGAAACAGTTACTGCTCTTTGGTTTTTCTGTATTAATTGTTCGTCTGATCTTTATAAGTCCAATACTTTTATTTTACTTATTAGCTGTGTGTGTTTGAATGTGTGTGTGTGTGTGTTTATAATAATGAGTGTATCATTACAATAATTGTTAATAATAAAAATAACTTAGTTTATATCAGTGTTGCTTACGTTAATTAATTTCGAAAATGTTCGCTCTCAATAGGTGTTAATACATATACGAGTACTGATATGCCCTTAAAAGTTATGATTCTTTCTAGTCCGATCCATACGTACACTGAGCTATGTAAGTATATGGATGCGTGTATGTATGTATGTGTGTGTGTGTGTTAAGTAGGTATTTATTTATTTGTTTAATCATTACTTTTGTTCTGCTTTGACAATTACTTGATTACTTGATTATTACTCTTATTATGTTGTATTTTATATTTATTTGAAATATTTATTTATAGATATAGGCATACCAAACTTCAATATACAACACATTTATATTTATTATTCTTCTGTTTCTTTTATTTCTGGTTCGAATTTCGCTAAGTGTATAAAACTTTTAGTTATTTTCATTTTCTTTTTTCTCATTTGTTTTTTTTTTCTCTTATTTTTTGTTTGTTTGTTTTTCACTAAGCCAATTTGTAAAACGTTTAGTACAAATGCAATAATACATTTACATACATATATGTATATATGTATATATATATAGATGTATTAAATTTATTGTGTATATATATTTATTTATATAATATATACTGATATGTTTTGCCATTTAAATGTTTCATTACGTTCTCTACAAACTTCATTTTGTGACCGATTTTACAAGTTACAAATTTCTGGGTTGCTTATTTAAAAAATTGCAATTTTTTCTCTTTCGGCTGTGCTCAATAAAACTCTCACAAATACAAATTTTTTCTGATGTTTTTTGTTTTTTTTTTTGTTTTTTGCAAATTTCGCTTGTTTGTCATAAGAACATTTTATTTGGTGCGCCCAAAAGCAAAATCAAACGGAAAAATTCTGAATAACTTCCAAATATTGAATATTCATCCCAACATAAATGTGAAACCAATGCAATCATCTGACCAAGTTTCATCGGGGCTTTTTCATTTTAACTTTTCAAAATTAAAAAACTTGATGCTCCATATTCTAAAAAAAATACTGGAGTTGAGGGCATATAGGCCTGGGCACAGACTTGGACCCATGCCAGCTGGCAAAATACTATTTGTCGTCTGAGCGAGTTTTTTGTTTTTTTTTTCCAATTTTCATGCTGGCATGACAAACATTCAATTTTATCAAAATCGTTTTCTCTGTTGATTGATTTCGTTATTAAATATTTAATATTGGGCCTGTGTTCTTTTTTAGCCAACGATTTGTTTTTTTTTTTGTCTTTATACAAATTAAGCAATTTGCGGCGTGCGACAAAAATGTATCTCTGTTGTTGTTGTGGTCTATGTGTGTGTGTGTGTGTGTGTATATGTGTATCTTTGTAAATAAAACAAGTACTCTGGGGTACTCTGGGATCTTCGAAGTGTGAGCTGCCACCAGCAATGTGGCAGCAGAGTCAGCACTCTTGATATGTGTTTAAGGGGAGGGGGGCAAGCCGCGTGCTAAAGTTCGTCCTGCTTGCTTGTTGCAAGTAAAGGTTTAACCTAACAACTACTACAATGCATTATTGTGTTGCCTGTGTTGCAGTGCGGAGCAGTGCATGCAACTCTAAATTCATTTACAAATGTTCAGCTGTGGCCAAGTTACAAACAAAGCATGGCACAAAATCTAAAACTCCAATTAGCTGCCGCAATTCAACTTTGCTAAATCTCTCTTTACATACATCTCTTCTCAACATTTTTTGATTTTTTTTTCGTTTTTTGTTTTTTTTTTTGTTTAGACAATTTCACTTTCACATACTAAATATCATATACGATTTCTTTGTGTGTGTTTTACTTATACGTTGTGTGTGTGTGGGTGTGTGAGTGGGTGTGGGTGTATGTTGTGCTTACACTGCCAGACATTTTCTTTTAGAAAACTCCCTTGATCCTTAGTGCGACACATGTGTAGAGCACCAGTCCCAATCCCAGAAGCTGCAGTCGCGGAGATATGGAAGCACTGCCCGAATCCCCGGTGCAGCCTGAACCTTCAAAAAAACCAGAGAGAAATTTCAGATTAGTGGCTGGATAGTGAGTAAAGCTGGCATTTTATAGGGTTATGATTTGATTGAATGAATTTATGTATGTGGCGGTTCTGCCATATTTGAAAAGCCGACTCGGCCCATGTTGCATGCTACTCCGTTGAGGCCTGCGACTACTTGGAAGCAAAATCATAATTACTAAGTATTTCCTCATCGTGTTGCCTACGATAAAAACGTTTTTATTTTTTTTTGTTTTCATGAATAATCAAAGAAACCAATTGTAAAACGAAAGAATCAAACTGAAAGCATTTGAATTTTTTTTGGTTTTTTTTTTTTTGGTGCGGTTTTTGGTGCATGGAAATCAAGAGAACGATAAATCGAGAGAAACTTAAGCGAATTTCACGCGAACTTACCTTAACTAAAAATCCTAGCAATTTGTTTGGGCTTTTGCGTTATGATTCTGTTCTTTTTAACGCTTCATTATATACGACATACATACATGTATATACAAATTGATTGTACAACCGATTTGTGTGCTAATTCGTTGATAACTTGATCGTTAACACTAGTTAGCAGAGAACTGCCAGCAGATCAAATTTCAGTTTGCACAAAAGAACCCAGATTGCTCTCCCCTTATATAAACAGCGACAACTTGTTGGCTCGATTGTCAACTTTGGCGAACTGCTCATATATAAAGATAACAAACTTGTTTCTCGTTCTTTTTTTTCTCGATATTTTTTTTTTATTAATTTATTGATTTTTTCTTTTCTTTTTTTTTTTTCTTCATGCAGAGCCAAAGCCAAATCTGAAAGCCGGCCGGCCTCTGTCTCTCATTACAGACTTATATTTAAAGTGCAGTGTGCAATTATTTGGTACGAAATAAAAAGATATATGAAATGCTTAAATATATTATTATAACTCGGCAATCATTGACCGCATATCTCAAACAAAGGCTGATTTAATAAATATTTATATATATATGTTATTTTGCATATGTGTGTAAATATAAATATGTACCGCAGGGCGAGCTTGTCGCGTGCATTTAATACTGACTGGCTAATTTGAATTTAAAAGGCTGACCAAATCGTAGATTATATGCGTAGATAATCAAGAAATAAATTGGCACAAGCAAGCGACAAAGGCAAACATATAACAAAAACAATAAAGACCTGAGCAAAATGAACATTTGAAACACGTGTCGCTAAAAGCAGCGCAAATCACAGAAAAAAAAGAAGAAAAAAACGAAACCGCAGCGCAGCAAATCAAAGAGAAAAGGCCAAGCCATAATAATAGACAACGCCAGAAGATACAAAGATACAAAACTTCGAGTTTGACAACAGCGCGTTTTACGTATCGGATATCGATTCAATGGGTTTCTGGTGTCAGGTATTGGGTATTGAGTATTCGGTATTGTGTATTGGATATTGTGTATTGGATATTGGGTATCGGGTATTGGCTCTTGGCTCTTGGGTATCGGGCATTCACGCGTGCGCGTAAATTATTACAACGACAACCGTTGAGCGTTTTTTTTGTTTTTTTTTTTGTTGCATCTAAATACACGTATTTGTGTATTGTGTATCTGTTTCTTTTTAGTCGTTGACACTTGAGCGGACTGGAGCGATAATCTTAAAGTGTCGGTGCCAGCCAGTCTGGTGCGCTCAGGACGAGGCATGCGGGGCCAGTTGTCTCGATTAATGGATTAGCACAAATAGCGCTGACATTATTGGTGAAATTTTAAATGGTCATTGTGTTCAAATTTGGCGCGTGTTCGCATGCGAAGCGAGGCCATAATGTATCCCACCGTAACTTATCAAAATGCAAATTAATTAATTAGCAAAAAAGCAAAATGAAAAAAAAAAAATACAAAATAAGCACCGGCAACCGGTGACCGGCAACCACATGAAGTAAGAGCGAAGCGAGTGTTGACTGAATGCCTCAGCTTTTACTTTGTCGATAGAGATTTGCTTGGGGGCAGCTTTAAATCACTGCTCACCCAACTGGGCTCTTGGCTTTGGCCCTTACCCAGCCCAATTGCCGCTCAGTGGGGAGCCCCATTTGCATACTCGATTCAGCCAGCGATCGCTCGCTTTTATGTAAAAATCAAATAAGCGCACCAAAAAAAAATTTAAAAAAAGAAGAGGAGAGGAGAAAAAAAGACTGACAAAATTAGCATAAATTAAATTTTATCAATTTGTGAAACACTAATTCTCTTTTGTGTCACTGACAGACAGACAGATACGGACGGACGGACCAAAACCAGACCAGACATCTTGGCGCGGCCAAAAACGAACTTAAAACCAACAACGACAACTACAAAACTTAACATTAACTTCAACTGCGACTCATCTTTCACCTGAAACCCATAAAGTTGTCCACGCATTTTAATGGACGACGGTTAAAAATACTTTTACAATTCGCTGAGCTAATGTATCTAAGTGTGTATGTGGCATATGTGCTTTGTATGCTTGGTTGATATATCATTGTCAGTTGGACATGCATATGCATGCTGTATCAGGCTGTATCAGTTATTTAAATTTCATTTCTCGGTCAGTCGTCAGTTAGTTGGTTAGTCAACGCTTGAAGATCACGTTTCGAGACTGAGAAACTGCGACGACTCGAAATTGAAACTCATTTCTCTGATTGATGAGCACATTTTGAAAAACTGGCATGGCCATAAATAAGTTTTGTGAATGTTAAATAAATTAAAGAGCGCAGAACTATATAATATCTTTCACTGCTATAATATGCAGGCATTGATGACTCACAATATTCAATAAATGTCAAAAACCAAATAAGAAACGAACACTCACTCCAAATGTATCTGGACATGAATAAAATAACTGTAATTCCGAGCGACACTCAATCAAAATGCGGCTCAAATGGGACTCCTCAAGCATTCATCTTCTGCATTCAACTTGAAAATTGTCATGCTAATTGACGCACACTGCCAGACCCATACAAAATAAGATATATGTATATATGTACAAATAAATAAAATTGAAAATTCATACGAAGCAGTAATACTCTGGAATTGAGCTCCTCTCAAAAATAATAGATTTACTCATCGTAAAAGTTGGCTAAGCTTGCTTTGAAAACATTTGCTATAAATTTAAACGGAGTTGCATAAGCTTATTGAAATACTATAATAAACTAACACACATAAAATAAAGAAAATATTATAAAATGTAAAAATGTATATTAACCAGATGCATAATCAAATTCGTTAATGCTCTGTCAACTAAAATCATATCAAGAGACAAAAGTAATAGTCGCAAAAGCTTCACATGTAAGGAAATTTACGATTTATACATAAGATTTTCTGTTTGAAGAATGTGATATTTACTATGCACTTTGCAGTGTATATAGAAAGAAGCAAGTGTTGAGATTGAGCTACTGAGATATGAGCTGTTGAGGTGTGGCATCTCTACTGCTGCCGGCAACCAGACAGACAGACAGACAGACAGACAGCTAGACAGTTAGAGGCGTGCGTCGTATGTACAAAATACCCATAATACACTTAATGTTAATTGTCATATTCACAAAGGGAAACAAAAGTCAAATGTATTCTGCCCACATTAACACAACATTTATAGCGTTTGCCATACATACTCGGAAGAGTCTGTAGGTATATTTTTCTTATGGGTTAATTACTCACCTGCCCAACTTCTGACTTTAGGCAAATAATCGTTCCAGAAGGAGCAACGCGCTGCCAATGGACCACGTGCCAGCTTCTCAATCTTATCGTCCGTGCTGAAAATATAATACACGGGATCCTCCTTCGAAAAGTTTGGCCATTCCTCGCCATCTTGTGCGGGATTGCTGTAAGTCAGAGGAGATTGACCGAAAAAAGCTTGCGTTATAGCAAATTTTATAGCAACATTGGTTCTGTTATTCGCTGCTCTTCTCTTTTTTTTATGGCAGCCAGGTTGGCTGAAAGCTATGCATGCAAAAGCTTTCGCAACAACGACAACAACACTTACCCCGTCTTGGCAAACTCAATAACGGAATTGAGCATACGCTTGCCCAGCTCACGCTCCACAGGTCGATATTGCAGAGATGTGTTCAGCGGCTGGCCAAAGAAGTACTCAATCTCATCGCCGTGCAGCACGCCCATCCACTCGCCCCACTGCGATGTGCTGGGTCGCTATAAAACACAAAGAGTGTGTGTGAGTGTGTGTGTGAGAGAGAGAGAGAGAGAGATTGTCGTAAACTTAGCAAGAAATTATGCAGATAAACATCCACCCTTTTTATTTATTTATTTGATTTCGCTCGCTCGCGCGCGCTTCACAAATTGTAAATATTGTCGCAGAATGTCGCGCAATGTGCCGCCAAAAAATAAAAAAAAGGGTGAAAAACAGCGGCACAAAAAATGAATAAATAATAAATGTTTGACTGGTTAAAGCAAGCGCCAACTTACATAAGATTATACCTATTATATCTGTGGTCATATGAAAGAGTAGATTAAGTCCACATAACAGAATATTGAGTTATTGCCTTTGACAATTTAATATATTTAATACGCTTAACGTATAACGTAAAGAAAACTCTTGACGTGTACACAGCAAAAGACATATTAAACTCATAAATAGACGTCACAATTTAATCTTGCTTTTGAGATATATTATTTTATGTGCGTTTGCTTGTTAAAACAATGCACTTTTTTTTAAAATAATATAATATACATATATATATATAATATACATATATATATATATTATATTCATCACATCTTCATTTATAAGCCAAACCCAAATCTACTTAGTTTTCTATTTCGAAGTTAAAGGAAGTTAAAGCATATAGAGAATTTAGTATACATATATATCGACTACATACCTAAGAGATTTCATAAAGGTATCTCACATCAGCTCTTAATTAACCACAACACTTAGATGCAGCAGCAAAAACAATAACAACAAAAGCAGCAACAACAAAAAAAATATCTGTGGCTAACAACAACAATTTGGCCAACGTCAATGGCCACAGTTAGACAGGACAGGTGCCACTGTGGATTGTGGTCAAAGTGATTATCTTGAATATCGAGGAGCAATACACATTATCAGACTATGGCGCAACCAGGCAAAATACGCTACATATTTAGAAATCAAAAATCGTTGTATTTAAATATATTTTAGTTAATATAAGTCTGGAAATGTGGTAGAGGAAGGAGCACAATAGGTAAAAATAATATAAAAATAATAGGTAATAATATTAAAAATAATAATAAATAAATAAATAAAGTCACCAAATATTTTTATATAATTAATGTCTACTAACTGTCTGAAATTTGCTGCTGGTTAATTGCAAATATTACAAACCACATAATCCATACTTGAATTCATTTTATTTGATCAATTCGTAAAAAACCAACAATTTTTTTTTAAACTTAAGTATGTTTTTCTCTGGCTTCATGGCAAGTGATTTTTTTGTTTTCGTTTACTTGACAATTGTTTACTTATGTAAAAACAAGGTAAATTTAAAAAATAAACTTGAACTTGAAATCTCAAATCAACTTTAGAGTAAATAAACAAATAGTTATGTACTCAGGTGTAATTAGGCAAACTACTTTAGATTTGTGTTAATTATCTCAAGTTAACAGCAAAATCAGAGTTTAGAACTGAAATCAACCCTCAGAGGTAAGGAACAAGCTGTAAATAACTAAAGTCTGTAGAGGATTAGTTTGATAGTTGACCTGCTTTGGCTAAAAGCTAAATTTGTATTGTACAAAACTTTACATTAATTTATTTTTTTAGGATAATACAATTATGGTTGTTAAATAAAATAGTACATTTGCAAAGCAGCTTACAATTATAAACTGTCAGAAATGTACTCTTCTTTGGTCAAATTTATTTTTGTTAGCATTAAATGCAATGCTTCCCATTGTAAGGACTTTGAAGTGCTGTCCACTTAACCAATTTAACAGTGGGTAGGAAACTGCAGCTCGACAGCCTGGCAGTCAATTGGTCAAGTCACTTAATGAATTGCAGTCAGGATATGCCAGGGATAATGTTGTTTCGTGGCATTCTCCCTCACCCAAGTTGTTGAAAATTTATGCGCCATTCCCTTTTACCTTCACTGGTCAAAATGAGGCTACACTCAAACATACACAGAGAGTTCGACTTTGCCCCCAGGTGCAAATAATGAAGAATTGTGCGAGTTGTTCTTGTTTCGTACTTTTTGATTAAAGCACAGAAACTCGGACTCGAACTCGAACTGGAACTGGAACTCAAACTGGGAAGTGGCAGCAGGACAACATGAAATTGCCAATTGCCGCGTCGAGTAGCACGTGAAAACTTATTTAAGTGCGAAGCACGTTGCACGCTGCTGCTACTGCTGCAGCAGCATCTGTCAAGGGGTGTCGCCGCCATGGAAATAGACAATCTGCCAAGCACTTTAGCAGCTGCCTCTTGGCTGCTGGCCCCATTTTGTGTGTGTTGGCCGGGCTTAAAGGTCGCTATGGCCACCTCGACTTTGGCTCGCTTATGGGCAAAATGAATTACGAGTTTTGTTGCAGCAACTTGAAGGCTGTAATTAAAACTAATTTCATTTGCTTTTTCATTTCTCAAACCCAACTTGCTGCTGGCTACATACATATATATATATATATATATATATTTGCTGACAGGGCCAGCTGCTTGATTATTAACAGGCGATTTGATATGAACAATGCAGGCCGACAGCAGGTACCTTAACATTTCACACGCACTGTTGGCCCGGTCGTCAAATGAAAAGCCAACCCAAACAAACAACAACAACAACAGCAAGAAGGAGAAGCATTCATCAGCAATAAATACTTATCAAGCATCATGAGAGCAAGTTCTGATTAACATGGCCTCAAGACGTGTCACAACCGACTCGCAACAGCCAAACGGCGTATGCGTAATATTGATTTTTCCAAATTGTAATTTGTGGCTCGGCCACGACACGACTATATATTATGTGATATATACGTATACATATACATGTAGATACATATTTATATATTTATATATATACATATATATATATCAATAGAACGACTCAATATCGTCTGTCATTTGTAATTGCCTATTAACATTTACGCATTATCGCTGAGAGAAAATCGATGGGGCAACGCAGGCAATAGCTGAGGGAGGGTAGCCAAAGGGGGTCGTATACTTAATACTTGATACTGGCATACTCGGTATTTGTTAATCATTAGGCCTGCAGCAGCCGCAGTCCTTTAAGCAAATAACTGACTCAAATTATGCCCCACACGTTCAGGCCGTATACAGGCCGTGACCTCGTAAATTGAAGTTTCATTAGGCAATGCCTGTACCCCACTCCCCTCACACTCCCTATTCTTCCCCCCCTCCCCATACAACCGGACGCGACTCGTGTAACGACTGCCTCAGCCTGTGTGTGTGTGTCAGTGTCCCTGTCCATGTCTGTGTCCCGGGCACAGGTCCAGGGCCCGAGAAAGCACAAGCCTCAAGCCCAGGCGCAGGACAGTAGGCAGTGCGTGTAGTTTAATTGGCGTTGTCCTTGTATATATATATATATATATATATATATATATATGTGTATATATATATATGTGTGTGTATCTGTGTGTGTGTGTGTGCGTTTATGGGTGTGTGTATGGAGCGAAACTTTTTGTGTTACAATAATTATGGCGGCCAAGGTTGCCAGGGCATACACAGACTGAGTTGTTGTTTGTCAAGTTAAAGACGACGACGACGACGACGACGAAGGCGACGATTGGTTGGCTGGGTATATTTATGTAGGTGTCATATTCTACATATATATTACAAACAAATTATGCAAGAATTTCATAGCTGACACGTACATTTGATTAAATAACACAATATATTTCTCTATATAATTCTCCGGTTCTAAGCATCATGCTTTAATCAAAAAGTGTCTGAGTATTATATACCCTATGCACAGCATACCAAATACTATTGCAATTATTTTAAAAGATTTTAATTTGATCTATATATATACACAATTCTACTATTGCCAATTATTGAAGCATGTGCATCGCCAAATTTCATGAAACTATATCTTTATCTGTTACTCTATATTTTCAGTGTAGAATTTTAGAAAATCACTCTAAAATTAAAATCGTCCTGATTACTGAAACATTTTTTCTTAATTTTAAAAATAACTAAATATACGAAAAAATGTTCTTAAAATAAAAAAGGCTTATTTTCTAATACTCAGAAGTATATTTCTTAACGATATATAGAACGAATAGATATGCAAATTCCTTGTTTTTTTTTAAATTCCTTTCTGAATTTCATAAAATAAGCTCGTAAGGTTTTCGACAATTTTTCAGAGCGATTCTTTTAAAAGTCACATTAAATTCTATTCTGACAAAATTTTAGATAGATTTTTATGTTAGAAGCTTTCACGCGATATCTTAATTAAGATCGATATATTTAATACTGGAACTCATTTTTATTGTCATTGACGTGCTAAGTTTTGAGTTCTCGCGAATTTTGCGGGTTTGCTAAATTAATTTAAAATTTCTTTGCCAAAGCTATTATTTTCCAATATAAGCAAAAATACACAATCAATGCAAATACTATAGCTATACCCAATATTTTTGAATATTTTTAAATATTTCAGCTTTAAATATCCCGCAAACTATGTCATATAACATTTAAGCTTTCTGTTGTACATTTAAAAATTTGGAAATAAAATCCAATTAAAAATCAGAGTTCGACTTAACTCCTGCCTTTTACACGAATGCAGTTTTTACTATGAGATTCGGACCTTCCGTTGAAACATAAATAATGCAGACACTCATCATGACATTTTGTCCTGATGTTGCTGTTGCTGCTGCTACTGCTGCTACAGTTGTTGTTGCTGCTTGCAACATGCAACCCCCTTAGGCTCTGCTCGCCATTAGCCTTGTGTGCAATTTTAATGACAAACAAATTGCACCGCGTTTGCTTTCAGTTGCTTATTTTCTTATTTTTCTTTTTCTTTTTTCTTTTTTTTCTGCCTGTCTGTGTGTGTGTGTGGTTAAGTGTGCTCGTGTGTGTGTTTCGCCTTTGCCCTAGTGGCGCCCCATTTGACCGCATTTCGATTGGACGCACGCGCTTCAACGCCGTCTTACGTGTCAAAGACTATGAAATATTTAATGATTTGTGAAAAGTGAATATGCCGCAATTTCCATTTCCCAACCTTGCCGCTTGCCCCTTGCCCCCTGACGATCCCCAGGTGACAGGATGACCACTACTCACGTGTGTAAAGTAATAGTAATGCACGGAGGCGCCTCGCTCGGCCAGCGCCTGTGCATACTCGTTGGTGGGGCAGGTGAAGAAATGATCGCCCACCGCGCGTCCAATTTGCTGTTGATTCTGATAGCCCGGGTTACCCTCCCAGCTGGTGTACTGCAAATGACAATAAAAAAAAGACGAATACGAACAATTAAATACGATAATCGTGATAGAAATTTCGCTGTTAAAATTAATTATGTGGCAAACGTTGATTGGCCGACTAAATATGTTGCCCCTATTTGAAATAACATCTGATCTGAAAAAACACAAATACCTATTTCAATATAATTTAAGTTATTCTTAATTAACTTCAACGAAGACAATATGAAAGAGATAGTGTTGAGTGTAGTGTTTACTACGAATAGACATATTGCTCTGATGCTGCTATTGCTACACTCTTTAACAGAGCAATAGTTGAGTCAATAGTAGACAACTGAAAGGAGTGTTACAATAGGAATAGCAGGAGCAAGAAAAATGTCCCTCTTTATATCTTAAGACTACTAAAACTCCTATTTGAGGACATACTTATTATTTGGAATACGCTTTTTGTGATAAATACATTACTTAAATATACAGCGGGTTGGGTGTCAAAATAAAGGGAATTTGGGTTCCGATTCCGATACTTATTCAGATTCCGATTCCGGTTTGACACTTTGACTACTAGCATATCCCACAATCAATATCAAAATTCTTATGTATGCCTGTGACTCTACTATAATTAAGTTTAATTAATAATTATATGCTATAGCTCATATTTTAAAATTAAAAAATTGACTTAATAATACTGCGGAGTAGCAGAACTTTTCATGTGCTCACATTGTCAACTAATTAAGAATTGAACTTATTTTACTTAACATCCTTCGAAGCATGATTTAAAAATCTGAACTATGAACTCTCTGTCTTTATACCTATGTTATTTTCTGTGCTTTCCGCGCTATTGACTTAACACGAGTCGTGCCTTTAATGCAATTTTCATTGAATTGAATAAATTTGCAAAATGCAATTTCATCAAATTGAAGTCACATTTAACTCGCTTAAGCTGCGGTTGCTGTCGATGCGGCTCCTGCTCTTTAGCCGAGCTCGATTCGATAGGTGAGTCTTGTGTGTGTGTGTGTGTGTGTGTGTGTGTGTGTGTGTGTGTTTGGTGAGGCATTGGTTGCAAGTGCAGCATCATTTGACAGGCAGCCGTGTGCGAGAAGGGGAGACAAAGCCGACGCAACAAATGGGCTTAGGCAGGTGTCAGTGGCAGCAGTCTTCAGTGGGGATCTGTCTTACCTGGAATATGATGGCCTCGCGTTCCGCCTGCGTTGCCTTGCCAAATATGTTGTTCATAATCTCCAGATACTTGTCACGTGGCAGCGCTGTGGCATCATCCTTATCAAAATAATCAATGAAATCGTACAGCAAAAAATAGGTGCCTGAAACGAAGAAAAATAATACAATATATTGAATTCAGTTTGAGGTGGCCTTAAAGGTGCGGGCTTATTCAGATTAATGTACCGAGGGCTATTGGCCAAGTCCAAAAACAATTACACTACAAGATTCCACTGGGGCACAATCAACGAGCCGTGCCAAGGACACGAAACGCTGCATTAACCAAAACAACAACAAAAACAACAACAAAATTGTTGAAGAGGTAGACAAAGGGTAAAATAGAATAAATAAAATCAACCACAACAACACCTACAACATCATAGACAACAAGGACGAGAACAAAGCGTCTCGTTGCCTTTTATTAACTTAATTTTTATGGCACTTGTTGTTGTCGTTGTCGCTTGTTTTGTGTTTGTTGTTTCTGTTGTTGTTGTTGCTGTTGTTGCTGCTGGCATTGTCTCCTGCACACTTCAAATACGAACACACTAACGAGCCATAATTGCTGCCTATGAGGCAACGACAACAGCAAAAACAACAATAGCACAGCTGCCAATAGCTGTATGCGAGTGAGTGTGTGTGTGTGTGTGTGTATGTTGTGTGTTTGTATAGGCAACATGGCTAGGAAATGTGTGTCATCCACAATGCCAGCTTACCCCCAGTACCGGAGAAACGTTTGACTGAAACCAATTTGTTGATGTTTGATTCAATTTTGTTCAAGCCACGGAAATTATGCAGAAACATGCGCAAAACGCGCTTAGCTGACGCATTAAACTCAAATATGCCACACGCACTTTAATAAATTGCCAACACACACACACACACCACTACACTCACACATATTTATACACACATAATATTGTTTAAATTTTAACGATTGCAATTATGAAAGCCTATGCGGTATACACCTTTGAAAGTTAAATTCATTACACTCATTACTCTTATTATCAAAGCAACGAAAGAAATGTGCATTCTAAGCAGGTACTATAAAGTTAGAGATATCTACATCTATAGTTTTTATTGAAGATAGTAAATACTATTATTCTCAGTGCTACTCTTATGTGTTTTAGAAAACTCAATAGGATTATATAATGCCTGAGTTTTACTCATAGTCCTCAGAATTTAAAAAATCATTAAATAATATGCAGAAAAATTATATTTTTAAGTTATTGAAAAGATTAAAACTAAGCCTAGTAATTTAATTATTGTTAAATACGAATATTCAACAATAATATTTAATATTTGGAGGTTACTTAAGAAGGAATAATAATATTAAAATGGAAATAATCTGCAAGAGACAGTACTAGTCATTAAAAAAAAACTAAACAGTTCCTAGATTATCACTATCTAACTAACTTTAATTTTTTAAAATAATTTATTGCTTATTTTTATATGGAATAAAAAACGGTATGGATCTGTGTAACAAGCAGAAGGAAGTATCTCCGACCCTATAAGGTATATATATTCTTAATCAGGATTAACAACCGACTTGATATAATCCATCTGTCCGTCTGTATTTCCCGGGTGTATCAAGTTTATTTAATTGTATCGATAATTGCCTCTGTTTCGTGAATATCAATACAATTCGATTTCCGGTAGCAATAAAAGTGACAATTTTAAAGGCAGAGGATTCTAATTGATATATAACATGCAAAACTCTTTAAACGGAAATTTGGCAAAAAACTAGAATATATTTAACAGCTCGGATCTGGGCATATCGTATATATCACGCGACTACAGCATTCTTACTTGTTATTCTGAGCGCGGTTATTTATCTCCCCCAACTGGCCAAGAATGCAAAGTAAGCGCGAAACTCTGAGGTGTTGCTACACATACATAAGGCATATGAAGACCAAATTGTTGTGCTTAGATTTGCACAGTTGCAAATGTAGCGATTTATTTGGGTGTCTTACGTTTTTGGCCAAGTTAACAGCAGCCAGCGGCTTACAGGATTTCAGGCCAACAGTAAAACAACAAACAAAATTAAGATATTTTTCATGTGCGCGGCGCATTGTAATCTATTGTGTGTTGTTTCAAATGCTAGATGACCTTGAACTCACAAACACAAACATATTTAAACACACACACACACACACTCACACACACATTCGAGCAGATGGATAAAACAGTTATATGCGGGTTGTGGTCGTCTTGTGGGCACGCACACCTTGTGCTGGGAGCACCAGGCAGTAATATGCAGCAAAACAAAAACAACGCCAGCGAGAGAAAGAGCGAGAGAGAGAGAGAGACAGCTAGAGAGAGTGAGCGAGCGAGAGAGGGTGCGTGTGAGGGCTGCGAGTGAAAGAGAGCGGCAGCAGGAACGGGAGCTGCAAGCAATGAGTGAAAGTTAGCAGCAGTAAAGCGCACGTGTCTGTAGCGCCACGAGAAGCGGCCGCAGCCACACACAGCCTGTGTCAGTGCCAGTACTTATGTGTGTGTGTGTGTGTGTGTGTGAGTGCTTGTGTGTGTTTGTGTGTGGTTGTGTCTGTGTGTGTGTGTGTTTTTCGGTGCCTGCCGCCTGGAAATGACGAAGCAGCAATGGCAATGGCAACAAGAAAAATGAAAGCGAAGTGAACCAACGAAAAAGCACACAAAGCGCACGAGAATCTGTTATACGGAAAACAAAACCAACACAAACACTCACACACACACACACACACATACGGACACACACACACTTGCACACAGACACATGTACAGCTGCCGTAGCCAAAAAGCACAGCAAATATATATAAAGCAAATGGGAGAGAGAATGCGAAACGAACGGAAATTTTTTTTTAAGTGGCGCGCGGCGTGGCACGAATAATGCGAACAATGCACACAAAGCGTTAACATTACCGTTAGCAAAGGACGAGAAGACAACACACACAATAATATCCGTTAAATTATGGGAAACGCAGCAGCCGACGCTGCTGACCAAGCCGGGCAGCAAACGGACAACGGCAAGAAGAAGCAAGCAGCGCACAAAGCCAATGTAGGAAATAAAATGTGCTGCATACTTTTCGGAGCAACGTTAAATTCAATACTCAATTTGAAGATTTCGATATCGTGTGTTTTCTAAATGTCTGTAATCTATATGTCAAATTAAATACAGAAAAAATAATTAATTACGCAAATAAAATTGCGCATCTTGATTTAAACATTTCCAATTAAAAATTTTAACTTGATTTGAGTTTGTATACATAGCATTCGAATTCAAACTAAAAATATATACTTGGCTTAGATTTGTTGCTATTCTGTTACTTTTAATTTGATTTAAATCAAGATTAAATGCTGCACTTAACGAAATTTTCTGATATACTTACAAAGATTATACGAGTTTCTTCAAATTTCCTTAAAAACACATTTTGTATTATTAAGTCTAATGTTGTTATTTTATTAATTTTTTTAATTAGAGGGCTTTAAAAATATTGTGTTCATTAATGGAATATATTATCTAGTTATATTTAATTTATTTTCAGCTTGGCCTTTTTGAAACCAGCTTCAATTATATTTTGTTTTGAAGCTACTGTAAATACTTGTGAAAGTATATTCAAAAGTATTTGGGCTGGCTAAAAGAAACTTGTTAAAACTCTGAAAACTTAAATTCCATATTAAGATATTTGCTGTTTATTTAAGTTATGTGCTGCTGAGTAAGTTTAATTAATATATTTCGCGTAATTAGATTAACCCTAAACTACCCAAATGAGTAAAAGCTTTGACTTTAATTTCACTCGTTGACTTTCTTCTTCTTTCCACACTGCCCGACAGCTGTTGTGCTCTGACTTTTATATCAGGTCACCCGATCCAAGCCCCCAACCCCACCACGCCCCCCATCCATGCGAACAGCAGCAGCACGTGTGCTGGCCATCATTTAGTGGGTGCAACATACTGCCCAGCAACGCCAGCTAGCGGTATATTTAAATAATTTATGATGCCGTTCCGCACAGTTGAGCGGCCCCAAACGTCGCCTGGCATTGCCCCCGAATTGACATGCCCCCTTGGGGTCTGCTACACACTTTGCGTGCACAAGTCTGGCAAGTTTTGCACAACACCCCCCCCCCCCTTCCCAATCCCCACCCCCTCCTCACCTTTCCAACAACCAGCCGCTTGAATTTAATTCGTGTGGGGCCGAGTTCGAGCTCACTCCTTGAAGCTGCATTGACAAATTTAGCTTGGTTTGAGTTTTAAAGCTTGCGAGATGCCTCAAAATTAAATCAAGCCCCAACTAGATATATGAAAGGGAACAGTTCGTGGTGCAAGGAACGGATGCTGCACGACCACGCCCACTGTTGTGAGGTCTCTCATAAAATAACAGCAATGCAAGGTTTTTGCAACAAAACAAAAAGCGAAACAAGCAAACACAAAAACAGTCGTCCTTTGCTATAAAGTGTAATAAAATCGCAAATGGATGCAGCGCAAAGCTGCAACAAATGTGACAGCTGAAAAGGGAGGAATGGGTGAGGGGGTGTAGTGCTTTTGGCTTGCAAACAAAAACAGGCACATTATGACAATGGCTGCAGCGACATTTCGGCCAAGCACAGTTGCAAAATTTGGCACACTGCTGACGTCAGCGTCAGCGTGGCGATGCCAAAAATAAAACTGCAACAATGACTAGGACCGAAAGGACTGCGCGTAGAACATGGCTAAAAGCGAGAACCGAGCAGCGAGCAGCGAGCACATAGTCTATTGTTAGCCAAAAGAGACAAGCCAAGGGATTAAGGAGGATTGGACAGCAGCTCGAGTTAAGTTTGATAAAGTTGCTGTCCACGCAGTAAACACAATGCCAAAAGTAAGCGCCATGAGTTTAAACAGGGGAACTTTCTGCACAAACTAAACGAACTATTTTTGGATTATTATTGTATTTAATACAATGCATTTTTAGTTTTGCTGCAGTTGGATTAGTTTCAAAGGGAAAATATTAACTCTGCATTGGCAATTGTGGTTTTTGGTTATAAAATAGAGTACTGTAATTTTAACTATATGTTTTCAGCAATGAAACAAATAAAACAAACATCAACGAAACAATAACTAGTAAAACATTACAATAAGTAGAGGCTATATAAAATTTGCTATATAATTATATAATTTTAAACCAAAAAATCGAAATGCTATTGAAATATTAACCATGTAAATATTGATCAAACTTTTCATATTTCAGTTTGATCAAATCAAAACTAGGCTTTCAAGGTGCTCCACTCTAAAATGAAAAGTTTTAAAACTTACCCTCATCTCTGACATTGCCCATGAGTATATCATAATCCTTTAGATCGGCCGTCTTCATCAGTGTCATGGGATCAGCTGGCAAGAAGGCGCCATCAATGGTCGGCGCTGATGGGAAACTGAGTATGCCCGAGTAAGAGTTCCACTGCTGCACCGATATGGTCTTGGCATCAACGGATCGCATGCAGCTCATCACATGCGAGGGATTGGTCTGTCCAAAAAAAAACACGTGGATATATATCAAATATATATGTGAGTAGATTTGCAGTCAAGATATTCACCTTCAGCATAGATGCATTGCAGTTGCAGTCATTGATCAGGGATTTGCCGATTTCCACCGCCTTGGCGGATGTCATGTGACTCCACGGAGCATTCATGGTGCCCGACTGCATCATGCCACGCTTGACCACACCCTTTGTGACTGGCGACATGAGCTGTGCATTTACCGAACTCGAACCGGCCGATTCGCCAAAGAGCGTCAGCCACTCCGGATTACCGCCAAAGGCATGGGCATTATCCTTAATCCAGCGTATGGCCAATGCCTGATCCCACAGTCCCACATTGCCCGGAGCCTCCTCGGCAAACTCCGCCGGCATTTCCGGCGCCAAGTGCAGAAAACCAAATGCGCCCACACGATACTGAAAGGAGGCAACGATCACATTGCCCACAGCGGCCATAATATCCGCATTGTAGATCTCCAGAGTGGCCGAGCCCGTCATGAAGCCACCGCCATAGACCCATATCAGCACGGGCAGTCCATTGGTCGTGTTCTGCGGATTGCCATTGTGTATAAGATGATCCGTGTCAGTCTGCTTGTTGCCCGCGTGCTGCAAGATTGAGAGGTAGAGAAAGATAGAGCAAAAGAGAGAGAGAGTTGCAATGTTTTTCAGTCACCCACCTCAGCTCCATTGGTGCCTCGTCCATGACGCAGACGCGCCTTGGCCGGCGCCCAAATATTTATATACAGACAGTCCTCGGATACATTGGTATTGGGATTCCAGATCTCTTCACCGGAGAAGCCCGGAAAGTATTCATAGCTGGAATAGTAAAGGAAATAATAAACATTGGGTCAATTCAGAACATGCCAGATTGAGCGGAAGAGGAGTAGGTTACCCCCTGCTCCCTCCACTCCTTACTCGCATTGTGAGTCGTGCCAATTACGACTAAAGTAACCGACAGTGTTATTTATTTTTATTTGCTCTCATCTGATTTGCCTGTTTTTACTTTCACTGTGTGCCATTTTCGAGGGCACACACAAGCCCATAAACCTACACACACACACACACACACACACATAAATACATATATACCCACCATCCTACCTATATTCACATATATTCTGTTCACATAGTTCGCTTGCCCTATAAACGTAGAATCCCTCGAATCGATATATACTACAACAGAACTGTTCGCTACGCATTCTAATGTGTGTGTGTGAGTGTGTGTGTGTGTGAGTGTGTGTGTGTGAGTGTATGTGAGTGTGTGTGTGTGTGTGGTTGAGTGTGATTCAATATATTCATATCCGTTTTGCTCGTCGGATTTCTGTAGGTGTGTTTGGTTTCGTGTCAATTGAAATTAACTTTGCCACTTCGCATAAAAGTAATTTATAACAAACCGGAAAAGGTGATTCTCCACTGTCTCGATTTCTCTCTATTTCTCTATCTCTATATTTGTCTAATTTCCGTTGTTCCACAAACTCATGATGTCTTTGTGTTGCCCCCCCAGTGGCAAATGAGAACATTTCCACAATGTTAGTTCCGAGTGATAGTTCCTTTTACACACACATATATTGTATGTAAATGGCAGTGCTCTGAATTTGAGGTGTAGCTAATTGATTTATGCTGATTTATGTAAAGTTAACAGCACTATTTAATAATATATCCCATTAGCTTTGTACTCGTAAACATGTTTAAATGTCATATAGAATTTAGTATTTGAATCATGTCGAAAATAGTTTGTATTCTCAGCTTGTTATTGCGAATAAGTATATCGACCAAACGAAGTAGCACATTTTGGGTATGGGCTTAAAAGTGTTGGCAAAACAATATTAGACTTAAGCAGGCATATGGCACAGCTTATTCGATTAAACTAAATACTACATTTACCCTTTTTTTGCTAACCCAAAATCATATGTATAAAAAGAAACCTTTGTCCTGACTGACTGATAAGCTAGGTCATTGTTTGATATCTAGGTTAATAATGTGTTTTCATTTATTCTGATAACTTCCTCAAAACGTTACTTAAAATCGATGCCTTTTTTATATCAATATCTAAATAGAATAATAAAAAATCCCATTTTACAAATACTATTTTCGTAGAAATTTCATGTAAATTTCATTTAAATCTTCATAATTGTGTACCATTTAATGTTTATTTTCTTGCCCTTAAAGTTATATAATTATATTTTGAAAGCAAATGTAATTCACATTGATTAATGGTTATTAAATAAATGGTTACCTATTATAGCTAATAAATGGATGATCACAACTACTTTTAAGTGAGATTCTCCTCCTCTTCACACATTTATCACATAATTCAAGAAATTGCACAGCGGAAAGTATAAAACTTCTTTACATTTCACCGGAAGGAAGATTTAATACTAGGTCTTTAAATATTAACAAAAGAAGATTAACGAAAAGCCAACCACTTGAAAAGGACATTTTTAAGAAAACTCAAATTCATTTCAACGAGATTATCTCTTAAATATAAGAATTTAGATTTGAAAAACAAAACTTTGTGCTATGCCGCGCCTCTTGATGGCTTTAGTAGAGTTGGGTATTGTTAAATATTGCTTACAAGATTCATAATTTTCACTTAAACCATCTCTCGAAATATTTTTCATTAGTTAATCTGATAAGGAGGGAGGCCAGCTGAATAGCTCCACATTTTGGTTTTAATTATTAGGTAAACTTCAAATCCAAGCTTTGCCTCCTAATAATATCCTTTCTGTAAGTTCCTTAAACGTTTATAATATTTTCGTTTAACCAACTAAGATCTTTATATTTATGTGGAGCTCTGACAGATACATATAAATTTATATACACAATATTGCCGCCTAACTTCCAATTGGCCGGCGTTTAGCACGCGGAATGCTGCATGAATGCGTGTCGCGATGACGTCACTAGCAACAGTTAGGTCAACGGCAACAGCCATCGGCATCCGGGGGCCGGTTTGAATTCTAGGTCAACTACACACACACACACACACACACATACATCTGCAAAGAGCTGCAGGCGTACAGGCAACAACAGAGAATAAACGTTAACTTACCGTTCCTGGACGCAGGTGGCCGAGAGTCGTGTGGCATCTAGAACGCCATGCCAGGGTTCCGCCGGCACCGGCTTGCGGAAGCGTAAATCTTCGACGGGCGGCTTGGCGTACGGTATGCCCGTATACACGTGCACCTCACGGCCCTGCACCGTCACGGAACGGCCCCGCACCGGGCCGGAGGATGTCTGTACCACCAGTCGATCGATGACGCCGCAGACGCAACACAAATGCATCGACAGCACAAAAAGTGCGGCAAGCAGCGACTGCAGACTAAGCCGGGAGACCATCTCGCGGTTGCGATTCTCTGCCAAATACCAAATGCGATTCCGGATACGGTTACGGCTACGGTTACAGTTACGGCTGCGAATGTGAATGCGGACGACTAACGAGATTTGGCCCGAGTGTCCTAGTTAGTTAGCTGCGGCGTGCTTTGCTCTGCAACTGCTGTGCTGTGCTGTGCTGTGCTATGCTGTGACGTCACCACGCTGCCGATGTTGCAGTTGTTGCTGCTGTTGCTAGATTTGTGACTTTATTTTGGTTTTCAGAATTGGAATTGGGTTTTGTGCGCTTTTATTGCTTTTGCCTTTGTTCTGTTTTTTGTTTGGCTAGGGCTCCGGCCTCCCCCCGTTGTTGGCGCACTCGTTGCAAGTTCTTGTTGCAATGGTTGTTGCCCCTTTATGCTTATTATCCGGTTGTATTTGTTGCCGCTGCTACTGCTGCTGTTATTGTTGTTGTTGTTGTTGTTGCCACTTTAAGCTGCCGTGTGGACTCTGCACTACACATGCTTCCAACTAGCTGCCTCTGTTCCACTCTCTCTCTCTCTCTCTCTCTTTCTGTCTCTCTCCTCTGTCTCTCTCTCTCTCTGCCTCTCGCTGGGCGTTTGTCTGTCTGGGTTTGCCTTGACTTTTGGTGCTTTTATTGCAGCTTGTTGTTTGTGCAGCTGTTGCACTTTTGTTGCGCTGCTGCTGCTGCTGCTTCTCCTTTGGTCTGCTCCCCACTCTATTGTTTGAACTGCAAATAGAAAAGGCATTAAGTTATTTGACTAAGTTTTCTTCTTCTTTTTGTCCACACACACACACACACACACACAGTTGCCACACAACCAGCCACAGTTCGCTTGCCAAGCTTAATTCATGGTTTATGCTGCCCCAGCTGCTGCTGCTGCTGCTGTTGCTGCCACAAGTGCATGTTGACTTGGCTTGTCGCTTGCCCTCGTTTGTATGCTACAATATTTAGATGTGTTTGCGTTTTTGTCTGTGTGTGCTGCTGTGTCTGCATGTGTGTAAGTGTGTGTGTGTGTGTGTGTGTGTGTTTACCACTCGAGAGAAAGATGCAATAGCTAAAAGCAAAGACAAATTGGAGGCTGCCTCCGCGCTGAGTTCGCATTCAAAGTTTTGAGTGCCAGCAGCCTGCACCACTCACATGCGCATCTCAACCACTCAACACATACAGCCACATATTCACATACATATATATATATATATATATATATATTATATAGGTTTATGTTCTTATCGGGGCCACTCACAGCTGCATTCAAGTGATGTGTATCATTCTCTAAGGCATACCTTATGCAACAACATCTTTATACACACATATATATATTTATATATTTTTTATAAGTATTTGAACTTTTGAGTCCCTTGACTTCTCAATTACAGCCTAAGCATCAAAGCAACTGCTAGCTGAACTCATTTTGCAGCAACTTGAGCAAATCTTTGCCACATCTTTAAAAACAGTTTTTGTGACAACACTTGAACAAGTCTTGTCGACAAACTTAAACAAAGTTGGGAGACATCTACATTGAACCTCAACTCGTATAATTGTCCAAGAAGCTGCATTTAACATATAACATTTAGCATTCAGCTATGTCGTGGCCCAAGGCATTAAGTCCGTAGGTATACTGGCCATATATTTACTACCAATTCCTTGTCCTTGAGGACACGACTCTGCCAACTCTGGCTTGCATGCTGGCAGCCCATTAAGCCTTACCTGTCGCTTCACCACAGTGCATGGCTATAATAACTCCACTTGGTTTCCCTGCGCCACCACGACTTGCCACAACAACAACTGTCTGCCACTTCCTGGCGCCGCACTAATTTAAATATTATGCAGCTGCCCAATTAAAAAACGATTAACACGGACTTCCCAGACCCCGACTGCAATTGCGAATGCAATCTTTCCAAATTACCACAGTTGGAATTTTCAAGCAAGATATTTGTATAATATATGCTAACAATCTTTAAGTTCTAAGGATATTGTAATTGTTGTGTTCCGATTTTGGAGATATATTGGTCAGAATAGGAATAAATCATCCACTTATGCTATGCTCTTAGCAATTTGTGGAATGTTATCATCAACATCGCTAATTAATTAAAAATTAAATAAAACCCCTTTTCAGCCAGCTTCCATGTTGCGAATGCTGCCAATTGGGACCACTTTGTCATATTGCTCCCATAGAAACAATTAGTTTATAATGCAGTTTTTGTATAAATAAACAGTAAATAATAGTAAATTTAATTTGTCCAGATATATAAAGCAACTCTGCGAACATCCAATCTGTTTGACAAGAATATAACCACCATAAGACCGAAGATATTCAATTCGCTTGCCTTTAGAACATTTCGACATAAGCATTCAATCCAAACAGACAATATAAATAAAATTATATATGAAACAATTAATGATACGACTAAGGTCAGATTTTAAATAGAGAATAAAGAAACATTCAGCAATATGCAATTATCACAACAGGTCGTCCAAGAATGTCGTAAAGATTCTAAGAATATAGGGTTACATCTATATCCATCTACCTAGTCTGTGTTAATCGGTATAAGGAGACATCTGCTTCCGCATAAGTATATAAATTCTTAATCAACATATTTCCGCCTATATGAACAGTGTATGCTGAAAATTACTGTCTGTAGAGCTAAAAATGTAAAAATTATTTTATTCAGTTTTACCTCAGCCGAGATAGAGATAAGAATTGATTACCGACAGCATTATAATACACAATTTTAAGGATATAACCACTAAGCAGGTAATACATATATTATCGAACTATTATTATATATGATATACTATATTACATATATTATGAATACATCATGACAGAATATTGATAATCGCGAAACGTATTTCCGGAGTGCTCCTTTGACTAAAGGACTTTGGCTCAGCATATTTAATAGTGTAGCAAATCCCCAGACTAGCGCATTATGAATTTCTTATTTTTTATTACCTAATTTTCTATTTTCAATTATACTCCTTCGTACCGTGTCCGTAGATTTAAAGAATAAAGATGATGACAGTCTTTGCATAAGCCCCTGTTCCAACTTCAAACCAGGCAAAGTCGTAACTAGAGTTTTTTCTTTAGGAGTTTTTGCCACGTGGCAAACCGACAGCTGCCACAGCTACTGCCCCAGCTGCTGGCCCACAGATAAGACCCAGCGCCTAAGTGAATATATTTTCTTAATTTCTTGCGGTTGCAGCAGTTTTTCTGCGTCGTTTGCTGTTTCCACTTGTCAGCTTCAGTAAAAACTTTTGCATTAAAATGCGCATTTTTCATGCGATGCGAGGGGAAGTGTTTATACATAAATATATCTATATATTACCAGGGACTGCGTCAGTTTTTAAATTAAGTTCATTTATTTTATTTTATTTTTATGGCGCCAACAATTTATGCTCTCGACTTTAGCTGATGCAGCAAAACCACGATTCGAAAATAAAAGTATGCATTTGTATATACTATTTGAGATCGTGCGATTTATATATAGTACATATTCTTTTTCATGGCAATGACATAAGACAGTAAACAGAGAGAGAGGGAGAGAGAGAGAGAGGGAGATAGAACGAGACAGCGAGAGGTAGAGGTAGAGTAGGGGAAGCGAGGTTTAACTCATGCCGCATAAAATTTAATGACATTCAAATTAAATTATAATTTTCAAAGTTTGCAGCGCAGAGCATTGAGTGTGGCGTTTGGGGTCTGGGGTTTGGGGTTTTGGGGTTTCAAGGGTTGAGGTTTGGTAACCATAACGATACGATGATAATGATAATGATAATGATGATGATGATGACAATGATGACAAGGACGCTGGCGACGCACAGGTGAAATGTGTGCGGGGAGCTGTCGGGGATGACAGTTAGTCAGTTAGTCAGTCAGTCAGTCCGTCAGTCAGTCAGCTTGACTGTGCAAAGGTCAACTTTAGTATAAGGGTTGGGCCACACAGCGCTGACCCTATTTCCACCTTTCCGACCATATCTCCTCCTCCCTCATCCGTCTATTTGTTTGTTTTGTTTGCGTTCGCTTTCACAATTTTTGCGAATTTCGCCTGCTTAAAAGATCCACAGCACACAGTCCAAAACGAACTCTGAAAGTCAAAGGGTAAACGAGACAACGAAAACAATTGGGTTACGGAGGTGGGCGTGTCAGCGGAGTGGGCGACAAAGGGGGGTGTTGTTTGTGTTTTCGTTTAGTGAAACTCACGTTGCGCGCCTATTTTGCCAGCTGGTGTATATATATATATATATATGTGTACGGTGTATATATAGTCCATAGTTTTAATTGATGAGTTGAAGAGGGTTATCACGGGTGGCAAACTGGCTGGCAACTGGCGCCACTTTATTGACAAATTGGCTCAGGTAGGAGAGACAGCTGCCTGTTATGCTGCTGCTGCTGCTGCCACGCTGCAATTAGCCAAAAAACATGCTTCAACTTTAAAAGTCAAGCATTTAAGTAATTGCAGAACAACTCGCTGTACTGAATACATTTCAATCACATTTGAGTTTTTCTTTATTGTTCTTCGTCTTGTTTGCCTACTTTTAAGTGAATTGTTGAGTAAGCTGGCGAACAGGTTTATATGCTGCCCCCTCAGTCCCCGCGCAGACCATTTTCTCATCCCAAATGCTGTCATTAGATTGTATCTTTCGGCTTGGGGGCAACTGGGCAACTGGGGCTGGCAGCCAGCGATGGCGACTCTCTTCGAGCAGCGGTTATGCAGTTGACCTTTTGTGTGGCAACATTGAGCTGCAGCCATTAGCCAAATGTCTGGCGCCAGGCGAACTATAAAATAAATGCTCAGGCGTGGCACAAATCGAAACGAGCAACACGAAACAAATGTTTCTGCTCGTTTTGAGTGCCTCATATAATAAAAAAAAGCAACAAAAATATATATATATATATTAGAAAAGAAAATAAGCGAAATTTGTATTTGACAATTTAAAGATAAAATACCCTAACATTTATTATCTATTGCGGCTCTTTTTAAGATTGAGTGGGTCTCGAAGAATCTTTACAATCAAAAAATTGTCGAATCTCTATTAAACATTTTAGAAGTAACTTTCAATGAAATTAATTTCTCAAAATTAGTTGGAATAAGATCGGCAATCTTATATTAGATTACTCAATCTTGTTGCAGGAATCATAGCAGAAGTATCGAGGATTATTTTCTTTGTTAAATATCTGGGTCTAATTTTGAATAAATAACACAAATTAAAATGATGTAGCCATAACTGGATAGTGTGATTTTCGACTAAATTATTAATATCTATATACTTATATATAACCATCTATATACTTATGTATTATTCATCGACAGGACGCTGAGAAATTTAAAAAAGAAATGTTAAGCTATGCAAAATATTAATTTAAAATAATAAAACAATATTTTCAACCGAAAAACTTTAAATTTACTTATTAAGTCTTACTTAAATACTTTAAGTTTAAAAAACTCTCTAAGAATTTGTTGGTTCCAAAAGGTTCTTAAAAAAAATCGAGCAAATTAAAATTTTACAATATCTTACGAAACTTCGATCGTGATCTTATAAAGGGAATTCACAAAATAAGTGAGCTCATTTTAGCGATAGATAAGTGTTATCTGTCTGTATCTATACATATATATATATATAAATGAGTAAAATATCCACATATAAAGAAAATAAATTCATTGAGATCGTATATATAAATATATATATATATATATTTAATTTTGGAAGGATGCAGGGGGTTAATGCTG